ATTATAATATTATATTTAATATTACAGTATGTTATATTTACATGATAAATTGTTGGTGATATTACATCATAAATTTGGCGACCAAAAAACATAATCCCATGCTATCATGAATAGTCCCATTATATTCCCCATATCATTGGTGATAGTATGATTATCGATGATTATTCGTGTATATTCCGCATAATATAATACCATATAATACCATATAATACCATATAATACCATATAATACCATATAATCCAATATTTTCAAGTGGTTTTAGATGATTTACGTTGTAAACACTGGTGATTGTCCACAGTTATGTTGGTCTACTGGAGGGTAACCATTGCTCCAAGAGGCATAGAAGCGAAGTCCCCCCGCCAGCGTCAGCAGCAGGTAGCAGCCCACTGCAGCCTGGCGAACTGGGTCAAACGCAAGGAATCCTGTGGGTTATCAACCCAAAATAGCTGGGATTTGGAGGAATTTAAGCTGGTTGGTGGTTGAGCCACCCCTCTGAAAAATATGAAAGTCAGTTGGGATGATTACATTCCCAACTGAATGGTAAAATAACATTAATGTTCCAAACCACCAACCAGTAAGGTATTTATTGATCTTCCTCCTCAAAATATTGGGGAGGTCTTGACACATAGCCAGAATAGTGCTATAACCAGCCAACAGTGGAATTCCTAACCAGCCGAAGCGGGTGATTTAAACGATTTAAATGGCAGTATATATATATATAAGATGTACCCAACACAAATTCGGCAATTCAACCAACTCATTCTTTTGACCATCAAACATAGGGATTTACCTCCTGACCAAGCAAACATGGATATGCATTTGCCTCCAAATAGGGAATCTCCCAGCTGGTCACCTTTCTTTGTGCTGGCTCAATCCGCATGATATATCCTATCTCACATAACTGATATCCACAACCTATGGGGATACCAAAGACAATAAAAACCCAGGTAAAAGTGAATACATCACCATAATAGGGGGTATATCCATTTATATATATATATATCCAACTTGTGGAAGTTATCACCATGGTTATACATATGCATAACCCCAGTTCTGCACCCCCTTCTCTTTTTGACCGACCCGCGCCTTCAAAGCAAAACCACTTTTGGGATTCACCCAGCGCTGCGCTGCGGCCGCGGCCAACCAGCTCTGCAGTCGATAAAGGATGTCAAGTGGTCAATCCGCATAATGATGATACTAGCTCCTAGCGAAATAATAATATCAATAAAACACATATGTATATATATATATATATGCATACGTGAAAAAACATGAAAACTACGTGTTTTTTTTGCCGCTGATATTCACTCGTGCCTAGTCTTGCATCACCAAAGAATTCTACTGTACAGGTTGGTAATCGGGTTTCATCTCGCTGCACTCAGTGCTAGCTGCCAGACGTGTATATATATATATATGTGAAAATCATGAAAACTAAGTATGTATTTACATATATATATATATATCGCATCAGTTAATCATACATTATAATATATCTAATGAATATAAATTGGTATTCATCTTCCAGGATTTGATGTCTTTGTTTTCTTTTTTCCACCGGTCAATGAGATTCATCAATGGCATTGATCAACCCTTGATTTTCATCAAACAAGGGGGCAAATTCCTCCAGCATCTCGAATGGTTCCACTATGTTCCACTGTTTGGTTGATGTTGATAGGTCTTCCTACAATGGATCCTCGTCTTATAGAGTCCATGTGGCGCCGCAATTTGCATGGGATATTGATGAAACTGAATGTTCCATCCACACAGTAAAATCTACGATCCAACCATCGCCTATGCTGAATGACGTCGGCTAGTGAGGTTGCTGCAACTGACCCAAAGTTGATGATACTTTTAGTGGAATTACATCCACCCTGTGTGATGCTTGTGTTGTTCCCCCACATCGACAGCATCGTCGGGGGCAAACATCCTACAAATCATCCCACCAAATGCAACCAACTTTTGGGATAGGAAGGCCATGAAAATGACCAGAGACTTGTCATTCGAATTCAAAAAGGTCATGGCCATCTTGAGCCCAGACTCCAACATAAAGGTGATGCTACTTCGGCCCAGCCAGGCGCAACACCTCATGGCACAACGAATCTCAGGAGTGGGACCGGGGGAACAAGTGGGCCAAAAAAAGGGGTAACAAAAATGCGGTACCACATGGGAAATCAATTTCATGGAGCTATCCGGAAGAAACAACTCAATTTCATCATATCTTATCCAGTTATTTCATCTCGTGTGGCTGGTAATCCAACCAAATTCAGCCATCTTTTCCACTCACTTTGTTGCAGGGAAATCGAGCCGAGGTTGCAGCAACCCGGGGTGAGGTCTCTTGTACTCTCCGAATTCCGTTCAAGCCGTTTTTCCATCCCCCAGTATAACAACATAAGAATCTTCTGTTGTTTAAACCGTTCGCATTCAAAAACTGGTGATGTTCAGTGATTTTCCACTTCGCAAATCCTGAAAAACACTGCAGAGTCATATCTTCTCTGCTCTGAGCGACTGGATGAACATCAGATTCTGCCCCGCCATGTTGTACGCAGGGCTTCCTTCGGAGCCAATGGGCAGTAGGATCGAGGACAGAACCCACCACACCTGCAAAGCCGCAGGTCGGAAATGGGGAGATTCCGAGTCAAGAAACATGATTAGCAATTCAATTTGGATATTTCTGGGGATATTTCTGGTGAATTATTGGGATATCTGATATATGATTGATGAGTCACGATTAATGGATGTTTTTTGAGAAAATCATGTGACATTGACAGATTGTTGACAGATTGAGTGACAGGGCTTGAACTGAAGGTGATATGGGTGGGACTCACTGGTGTGAGTTTCCATCCATTCAGTTGCCGATAATATGCCCTGCATTTCCCTGCCATATCGGGGCAGATCTTCCCTCTCATGAGGGCCCAGGAAACCAGCGAAACCAGCGAAACCAGCGAATACATGTTACCTTAAACCAATGCAATGATAATTTGTTGGTGGTTTTAACCATCTTGAAAAACATTAGTCAATGGGAAGGATTATCCCATATATTATGGAAAATAAAAAATGTTTGAAACCACCAACCAGATAAGTAGATGACACGTCTTCAATTCTCAGCAAACTACCCATAGTTAGCCTACGAAGTGGGTACATCACCTAAACTTGCCAGGCTGCGCCAACCATTGTGGCAGTTCCTAGTATCCCCCTATCAGCTCTGGCAAACCACCTGGATACGCAAACGAATCTTTGTCTATTGCTAAGCATTGCATCCAAAAAATCTCGAAGTCTGGGCCATCTGAGCTTTCCCAGCTGAGGAACTGTATTCACGCAGGGAAATGCCAATGTCACACCTGCCGGCAGGTTGACCCTCCCAAGAATCCGGGCCATCCTGTGGTTTTGTGGCTACCAATACCATTCAGGGTGCTTATTCAATGATACCATTCATCTCCAAAATCTGTAAACGCCCTGCCATGCCCTGCCAGATAAGCTGGAAGCTGAGTTTTCACAGCTATTTCAGGGTCTAGGGTCTAGGTTGATTGGGGGAGGGTAAGCATCGAACATGCTGCCAGTATCAGGTCCGAGGGGCTCCACAGCTCCGGGTGTCGGATGGTGAGCCTGGGCTTGCAGCGGAAGGTAGGCACAAAAAGGGAAAACCCTTTGAAAAATACAGAGCTACAAAGCATGTATCCAGTTTCCAGACATACCTATACACACATATACACACTGATATATCATGTAATTGTCACATTGCAATTTCAAGATATGCCAAGTAAGCAATGAATCTCCTTTCTGTATGATGGTCTTGAAGCCACTGAAGTTGTCAGTTGCACTTAAATGAGTTTGACCACAAATGGGGAACCAAAAAAAATCTGCAAATCGGCCCACTCTAAAATGGCCATTTCTGGCCAGTCATCCAGGCACTCATGCAGGATTCCATAGGATTCCATAGGATGTTCATAGGGCGGCCTTATAAAGCAGCTTACGATCTGCCCGGCCTTCGGTGCACCAAGTATGCACCAAAGATTGGGATCTGCATCAGCACCTGAGAACGTGCCGACCGTTCCTCTTGGGACACAACCCTGCCGAGAAATCATAGATTCATCCTTTCCAACCATGAACAAAAACACATTTCAATAGATGACACTGATTACCCTGACTTAAAACCATGATCGGTGCTCAGGTCATAAAGATGATGTTGGCTAAAGTCTACTTAGATCATCCTACATCATCAATGGAATCTCACAAACCATGCACATCATGTCATGCTATCCTGCTCTCAGGAAACTACAGGCGGTCAGTTGCACGGCAACTAACAGCAAAAAACAATCATACAAACGTTTCTCACATATAGTTCATTTCACTCCTATCATGTGCTTGGACAGCAACTTTCGAATCTTCCGACACACAAAATCAATAATATAAAAATATGACAGTATTATTTCACAAGTGTCAACTGCAAGTAACTCTATAGTTCCAAAATATGACATGTATAGTGAACATATATATATATATATATAGAGAAATTGGTATGCATCATCATAATTCACAATTCACTGTCTCGATATCTATGTGTATATATATATATATACATAATATCATATAATCCCTTGATATTCAACACCCCCCAAGAGTCACTTAAGCTTTTTGTAGGGGATGAAACCACATATTTGGGACTTGGGACTGTTCATTTTTGGGGGGTGCTAAAATATCCAAAATGAGGAGGGATCGGATTAGTTACAGATGATTAGTAACCATTTCATATTCCCCAACATCTCCCATGAAATCCATGTCAAGATGCACAGATGACCAGTGCAGCTTCCTGCAAAAAGCCCCAGGTGGAGACACCCATCACAGCACCTCAACGCCAAGGGAAAACACGCTTGTTTTACAGAAAGCCATGGGTTAAACCATGTATATGGTATCTGTATATGTGTAAACATATATCATACATCTTATATATACATATATTATTTCATATTATAAACTATATGTATGTATATGTATATATTTGTGAACTTGTTATAAATCGTATATATGACGGTAGTGTTTTTTGTTATCCTTGTCTTGCGGTTAGCAGGTAGCACAGGCAAACGGCGGCAAACGCCTCCGCTGTGCCTACGTGCCTACGCGGAGTTCCCGGTTGATCTCTATTTTCCGCATCAAGAAAAAATAGCTACTGATATGGATTGTGTATATTTATTAATGATTTACTCTCAACAATGAATATATATATATATGTATATATATGTATATATATACACAGACAAGTCGAATATGTTTTGCCAGGCTTGATTATGAGGAGGTACCATTCACGGGTAGTTTCCGGTGATAGCTCAACACGATTACAAAGCTGAAACCTCGAAGATCCGCGGACAATAGCAGTTAAAGCTATAGGACACCCGGCAAGAAACAAATAGAATCAGTCTCCACCTCATACCCTAGTTGTTTGCCTTGAAGCGAACAAGACTCAGATTCAATCAAATCAGTGAAAGCAGTGCCAGATTCTCTACTTTGCTCCAAATCTTCCTAAGTTTGGGTGGACTGTAGATGTCAGTTGAGATTACCCTTTGGTCAAAACCAAAGTTAGCACAGCATCAGGACCTTTCGCATTTATTATTTTTCACTGACTAGGGGAGAACGCAGCTTACCTCCAGGTTCACAAATTGCCTTTTCAAATACAACATACACACCGCGGAAACTTTAACGCTTTGCAGAAAATCATCCTTTGCAAGAAGGTCCTTCACCAGTTTTTGAATGCCAGCCCGGATCCGTCGTGCCTAGAGGTATCAAGGCCAAGGCAAAAATCCAAAGCCGCTGGATGCTCTGTGCCAAAGCGCAGCAACACCTTTGAGACATCGGGAGACCGGAACTTTCAACATCTGTAGCCTCCTGATGCCTCCTGTAAACATAGAAAAAAAATCTGGAAAACCCATTTGGTAGATCATTGTCCTACCCGGAAACCGTTGGTTTTCCAGATATTTTTGGATGTTTAAAGCAAACTGTAGACCCTGAAACTTGGAACAAGTTCTTGTGAGCCCAAACCAATCGTCTACTAAGCCATAGAGTGTTTTGAGCGCCGGTCATCTTGATCCATTCAATCAACCCAGCTGTCAAACAACAAGAATGGCGAGCCCACCCATCTCCTCAAATATGAGTCAACCACTTCCCCCAATAAAATCAGAGTCATAATGCCAAATATGTAGCTCCTTTTCGGTATGTTTGGAACATAGTCGTCGGTATTCTAAGTACACGCGCCCCCATATGTAAGATAAAAAGATAACAAATACGGACACATGATTTAAAGAAACACATCACACATATACAATCATATACATGCATGTATATATGCGCAATCAATCATAACAATGTGTTCATGTTCATGTTGCATCAATAATCTGAAATTTCGAATACTGTAAATCATAATAAATCAACAATCCCACACTCAACAACGACATGTATAGATCTCCCATCTTGGACACTCTTTTTTCGCCGAGGGAGCCCCATGGCCAGGGCAGACATGAAGGGCACCGCTTCCAGATTCGTGAAGAAGGTTGCCTCGAGGAAGGTATGAACGAATCATGCGTTTTGACCCAGGAAATTAGATTCTAAATTGACCATGGGGTTAGTTCAGTGGTCAGCAAGTGGCCCAAAATGTTGGGTCTATAAATGGTTTGTAACATCTTTTAAGCCACTTGGATTTCAAGGGTTCACCATTTTGTAACGTTCCCCCCGTGAAAATCCCGTGGAGCTGGTTCAAAGCCAAGGTAGACGTTTACGTAAAACTCCCCTGGCGTCATGTAAATGCTTCTATTAGACTTGCCGTAATTTGCAATTTCAACTTTCTGCAAGTTGCCATATGCCAGCCACCAGTAGAAGAAATCGTCTGTGCACTTTCGGTTGCTCCCTGTGATGCATCGTCAGCTGAGTCCACCCAACATTAGATCCTCATCACCTCATTTCCTCTATATCACCTTCCAGGAAATCAACGACCCTGAGCATTGCAGACAAGTGAAACTCATCCGCAATGTATTTGGCAGGGTATAATGTCGGTTCGGGGAATGATCAGCCGAAGGCGCTATGAGCCCAAAAAGGTACACCGCCCACAAGTGCTTGGCGCTTGCCTGGCACCGCCAAAAATAGGCAACCCATATTTCGACAAATCCACCGGTTACGAAACCTGCCGAAATGATCTACAAATGCTGGATTTTCCGTATCTTAATATATGTTAATAATGGTTGGGTAGAAGAAAGTGATTAATAGTGGTCACAATATGGATCATATATGGATCATATATGGATCATATATGGATCATATATGCCCTATCCACTTATCCACTGGCTAATTAATGATCAGTGTCACCCTTAAAAATGCAATGTGCCAGTTGACCAGCGGCTTCTGCCTGAATTTCCACTCCCCGCGTTTTGACGGAAATTCCTTTGAAACTGTGGCAAAAGAACAGAACCGTCATGTGTTTCTTCATAATGAAGTTATATTCCAAGGTGTGCTCATTAAGTCCCCAAAATTATTGGCGGATATCTCATGTGTGCAAGATGTTTACCTGGATGTTGAATTTGACCCATCACAATATTCACCACTTCAAAATCGTCACCAAAAGGGTTAAACTTTAAACATTGCCAATCATAGATACCCTGCACAAACACCTGGTTAGGAGATCCACCTGCAAACCGGTCTGTAATCTGGCTGAATTATAACATTCCAACCTGAAATCATGGCGACTCTTCAGCTGGTTGAGTTGTCTATATATGTCCCTCATAGATCCTCTATGGCAAACAAATGAAGGTGCTAGACTATCCACCCATATCCACACATGCTTTCCCCATATATCTATCATGACTGTCTCTTTTCTGCTCGCCAGCTCCCACCTTGGGCATGTGGACGTCCCAAGACCTTGCGCTATCAGGGGTATGGCGGAAGCATGTACAGTACAAGGTGGTGCCCCAGTGCGGAATAGCTCAGTTGGTTTATCACCAGTATGTATATATATATACACTGTATATAATCTAGCACAATACAATATAGAAATAATATCATATAATGTGATATAACAATATTTATATATAAGGTTTTTGGTAGGTATATATCTATACTTGAGGGGTTTATAAATCAACCAACGCAACTGAGGGGACCCGGGGACCCACCGGGTAGGTTTCATCAACAAATCACCGGGATATTCGAATCCCATCACAGTTTCAAAGGACTATTTCATGGTGATATTAGGGGGCTGGGATTGATGAATTATGCCAGTCAAGGACCTACAATCATCCCCAAAATATAGAGTATATATATATATATATTAGAGGATATATGTATATACATCTATATATATATATATACGTATATATATATATACATACATACATATATATATATATGTAGTTATATACGTATATATAAATGTATATAATATATATATATATATTACATATATATACACACACCCAATGTCGTAGACCATGATTTGGGCCTGGGATTGTGTGGCATCAGCTTTGACTCAACCCTTCCAGTTTTTTGGGTAGACAATTGCCCCGAAACTTGGATAAATCATGAAAATATAGAAAATAGATGAACTATGATGAAGTAATATCTAATAGATAAATAACAAATATCATCAACACATACTGTACAGGCTCTGCCCAATTCCCTCCAGGACCTATTCGCTACTCATGGTTTACTGCAGGGATGAACCCATGTTGCTCTTGCCTCCTTTCGACATCCATTCCTGTGCAGACGCAAGGCCCAAGGCGAAACTTGAACATCAGAACTGTGTTTGGAGCCTTGGAGCCAAACCATTTCCTCTTCTTGAGTGGTCAAAATACGTTCAAACATATGCCAATTAAAGATATTCAAACATGTGTAGTATCATGTAGTATCCCCTTCCCTCGATGGCAAAACAAACCAACGTCTTGGGTCTCTCTTCTCTGCCAGCTTCCAGCTTCACAAACCGGAAATTTTTACCACCCATGGTGCATGAAATATGTAGAACTCTGAGTGGGTGTCGATTAAACCATCCCAAAAAAGGCCCAAATCTTGGACATAAACATCCCGGCGGACCTGGCACCGGCCCATGATTGTCCAAAAATTGTTGTTTCGCTGTAGCGCCAGCGCGATTTCATGTGGCAAACGACCATCAAAAAAAACATCCGCTTTACTGTGGTTTGCAACCCTTACAGGGGTTTGTGCTGCAAAACCCGACGAACGAACAAAGTGGCCTTTTGTCTTCACAGCATGAGAGATCTTACAGCTTCGCCAGTTGCGGTCAGCAAGTCGGATCCAGTGTGTTCCCATCTCCATTGTTGACTTCGAATGTACTTGAACAACAAACCATTGCGTTTGCCTTGGACTTGGGAACGAATGATATCACACCCCACCCCACCCCACCCCACCCCACCCCATGCGTAGCGTAGCATCACATCATGTCTTGCAGTAATGACGTAGCATCACATCATGTCTTGCAGTACTGACGAATAATATCACACCCAACCCCACCCCATGCGTAGCGTAGCATCGCATCATGTCTTGCAGTACCGACGAATGATATCACACCCCACCGCACCCCACCCTACCCCAATTTGTGGGCCGGTAAAAGGTCCGTCTGCATAAACATCTCTGAACGAACATCTCAAATTTTGATCATCAAGTCATTTATCAGTTTATCTTTTGGGATCCAATCAGAGCCCTATATCTATATGGTCTCCAATTCTGGAACTCCAAAATACCATGGTTCATCACTATGTTCACCATGTTTCACCCGTTCATCCGGGTATCCCCCATTGATCAACCTTTCAATTTCGGCCATTTGCCAATATATCCCAGTCTATCTCATTGAATCTCTTATTATATGGAGATTTCCCAAAATGGCGCTACCCCAAGTCATCCAAGTCATGGATGACCATGACTTAGTATTGAAACAACCATAGTGACTCGGGGATCTCCCATGGCTTAAGAAACCCCCACGTCACATCATCATATCCCCAAAAAATGGTTGATTACAGTAATTACTGGTTGATTCATATCCCAGTATATCCGATATTATATCCCTATAAAATGGAGCCAAATATATCATTTCATATCCCTATTGCTATTGTGGATTAGATGCCCCCACATTTTGGGGATACTTCCAGTACAAACCCGCGTCATTTACGTCGCCAACCCGCCTCCGGCAGGCGCTGCCAGCAGCTGCACAGCGCAGCGCAGCTGGCCCGCTGAGCAAACAGAAACGCTACAACGGCGCAACGGCAGGAAAAGGTGAACTTCCGATGCGCTGGATCAGTGGGAATGTCATCCGGAAATGCGATGCATTAAGAAACAAAGTTTAATTAATTTTAACTAACTATATAATATTTATTTAAGAAAACATGGGGTTCAACCATGAACCATTGGAGTTGTTTAGAAACATAGTTTAATTACTGTAACTATAAATATTATATATATATATAGAAAACATTAGAAAACATGGGATTCAACCATGAGCCATTGGAGTTGTTTTTCTGATTTATGGGGATTTGACCATCCAAAATAAGGATTTAACAAATGAGTAACTAATCGATATTGAGTCTTGTCCAAAAATGGGGGACAACAGTATCACCTAAATTTGCCATGTGAATGGGGACATGAAGATTAAGCAGTGGTTTTGGGGATACCCTGTTCCTGCACAGACTTGTTTTTTTCCATTGGGGATATGCCATCATAGCTGGGCGAACGAATCATGGTCATGGTGCCACTGACTTCAACATATCTCAAATCTCACAGATTCCAGTATGTCCAGGTTGCGGAAAAGAAATGGCGGTTTTTGTACTTTGTAACATAAGCAAAACGCACACTGGACTGGTTTTGAGAATTGAAAAGCAAGTTTCTCCGCATTTGGTGTTTGAAGCGTCTCTACGGGTGCTCAGAAACAGTCTTTTTGCGTGTTTCTTTTAAGATATATTCTTCTCTGGCACACCATTTGTTCTCCTAGAAGCTAGGTTCTCATATTATTTGTGCCATGGCTTGAAGTATCCCATGGCTTGAAGTATCCTTTCATGCCGGCTAAACAATATCTGTGTTGGGATTGAACAAGAAATTGATCATCACATAGCTCACTGACACAGCACTGATGGTTGCACAGGCTGGGTAGGAATGCTTGAAGGCTTGAGTGCCAAGCCTTGCTTTGTCTGCAGTTAGTGATTTCAAAGCGGTGTGAATTCATTAGTTGGCTTGTCAGCTAAGCTGACAAGTCTAGTGGTACTATGAGTAAAATCAAAACATTATTCAACAAATCTACCAGGAAGGAAGCAATCGCTGCCATTGTACTACTTTAGGCCCGGTTTAAACCATTCGGTAGCTTAAATTACAGGACGCTTTTAGCTCCTTTTTGCAGGATGCTCTCAGCTCCTATTGCAGGAGCCTGCGGCTCCTTTGTTTTTTGCGGGTTGTGTGGCAGGAATTGGCAGGATGCCTGATGGCTCCTATCATAATGAAATGCAGTTGCTGATTGACCCTTTTTTCATGGGGCTCTGGTCTGTGCATTTTTTCGAGTTGACTTATGAGTCTGGCTGTCTGGACATCTGATACGCGGAGAAACAACTATCAAGTCTGTGTATCACTGATGAAAATGAAAACAAGGGCCGCTCGATAAAGAATACAAACTACCATGACCTGTTTCCTCAAAGAAATATAATTCCACAATTTACTCGTTGCTAAATATATGTTTGGTGACTGGCCTGGCCGGAGGATGTTCCAAAGCTTCAATTCAGGTGTGGAACTTCCGGCTTGGAGCCCAGACCTCGTGACATGGTCGTTCGTCGCATTTCCCGTTTTTTTTTTCAGGTAAATCAGTGATGCTGTCGGGGGCTGCTAGATTGCCAGCTTTTCTCCGAAATGTTAATCATTGGGTTGCAAAATTCCTGTTCGTCCGCCATCAGGACAACTTGCCAGTCGTAGCTGTGGCTGATGCCACGTCTGTGTTGAACTTGTTTCGTGTGGCTTCACGCTAGTGCATTGGATAAAATGTTTTTCCCTCGTCTACCTAGGAATAAAAGAAATTTGTTCAACTTATTTTGTGCTCCACAACATCGACCATTCAAGACGCAGTGCCTGCGCAGGTATTCAATGATTTGATCTCCGAAACATCAAAGTTGTTGTGACAAGGTGAAAAAAAACATATATCGTTTTTAATCGACAAAATTGTTGAATAAAAATATGTCTATGTGTGTGGCTTGCTGGTTAGATCAGATCATGAATACTCTGACCATTGCAAGTCCCTCTGGAATTTCGCTGGCATGCTGGCTGAGCCATTGCCAGTCTTAGGGGGTTGAGACACTGGCCAAGCACAATGCAATTCAGGAAAAAACAGGGCTGCGCAATGTGGTGCAGGTGGGCCTCTCTTTTTTGGGTAAAGATAAACGTTGAAATTTTGGGGATAGGCGATGCTTCACATAGTTGCATGGTCACATTCCTTTTTTTGCAGGATGCAATGTGCTCCTCTGTCAGGGCAGGTAGCTCCAAGCACCTTTCGTAAATAGTATGCAGGAAGCATTCTTGCTCCTTTACTCAAGGTTGGGGTTTTAAGTATTCCGTGAAAAACATTACTGAATTTGATTGCTTTGAGCCCATACGCGAAGCGCCGGGGCCACGTCACTTCAAGCTGGGGTGCTGATTTTGAAGATGGCTCTGTCGCGTTCCAAAGCTATGGAGCCTTTTCCAGACTTGCCGACGTCGGAGTCTGATTGCAGCTTGCCCTCTGATGATGGGCCTGTTCTTTCTGATTCAGATCCTCTGTGCGCTGTTCGCTGGGGATGCAGTTGCAAGGATGGACCATGCGTGTCCCCTCAGAGCTCTTTGGAAACTGCCTGCAAAGTTTTGCGTGAAGGGATGTCTCAGTGTGATGCTCAGCAACGCCGCCAGCGTCAATGGCTTCTCTTACGTGAGATGAGGGTTTCGCAGAAGGTGCCAGCTGGGCAATACATGATCCAAGGAACTCCAGTTTGCAGGAAAACATGGCAAAAGGCGCATTTGATTGGGTCCGGCACGTTGAAAGAGCTGGCGGCTGCTGTGAATGCTGACGGACCGCCTCCTGATGGTCGGAAGAAGGGATTGAACTGTCATCATGGCGCCTCCCAGTTGTCTACCGGACAGCAAGATGTGAACAAGTTTTTGTTCCATGCCTATAGCCATTGGGCAATGCACGTGCCGACAGAAGATGGGTCCACCATGGAACTATCTGAACCTGGTGCCTTGCCTCTGGAGGTGGAGTGTGACATCCCGCAGGATGATGATAGCCAAAGAACCCACGAAGCAGAGCTGGCTGAGCCTGTGGTCGGTCCGGAGACTTCTGGCAAGTTAGATTCCCGGCGCTACCTTCCACACTCCAGTTGGCAGGAATTCTATGAGATGTACTGCAACTGGTCCGACAGCCCGGTGCACAAGACTTCTTTCCGGCGGCAGTACCTGAAGTCGGAGTTCAAAAACTTCTTGCGCATTGCTGATGCCAGTGACCACAACAAGTGTCAGACATGTGAACGGCTCAAGGCTTTGCGCAAGAAGGCTCAGTGCGAAGTGCAGTTGAAACAAATTCAAGCTGCGCATGCCAACCATGTGCAGTCAGTTATGAAAGACCGTTCCTGTGATGCCCAATCAGAACAGCTTGGCAGAGACAGTGTGGGTACTACTTCGACCGGAAGTCCTTTGGTGACCAGGCAGAATGCAGTGCTGAACTGGACACAAGACGCCATGGACCAGGCGAAGTTTCGAGTTCCGAGACAAATCGCCCAGGCGAAGGCTTTGGCACAAGCGTGGCGTCCCCAGCTGGCAGCCCACGGTTTGATATTTGACGGAGTGCCAGGAGGCAAATTTTTGTTTTTGGTTGACCAGGACATCGGAAAAAGCGCGAATTTACAGTGCAGTGTGACATCACGAGCGCTTCAGGCGAGGTCTTCTGGGATTTTTTTTTCGGATTGTTAACTGACAGACTGGTTTAAATCAAATCGCTGTGGCTTTTTTGGCAGGTGGTCGCAGAGCGATTGGTTGACCGTGGTGTGGATTTGCCAATGCACTTTCGGTGTGTCTCCGACAATGCCACTGCTGAGACCAAGAACAACTGTTTTCTGAAGCTTCTCGGGGTGATGGTGGGCCGAGGCAATGTGACTTCTGCGGTCTTGTGCCAAGGCCGTGTCGGCCATACCCATAACCGGCAAGATGCTTCCTTCAGCCATGTGGCCACAGTCCTCAGCAAGGCCAAGGTGCTGCAAGATCCCGACGAGTTCAAGGAGAGGATCCACCAAAACCTCATGGACTACCATGTTGAGAGGGTCCATGCTGTTATGGATTTCCAAACGTGGTTGATGGCGGTTGGTACCCGCATCACTGGCCTGAATCAGACCAAAGAAGCTACCAAGAAAAACCTGGAGGCTTGCCATTCCTGGACATGCCAATCTAGGGTCTGGGTGTACTTTTTACGCCCAGGGTGTTTATTTTCAGAAGAAAAGCCCGTGGGTGTTACTTTCACAAAGAAACGCCGGCTGGGTGTTTATTTTAGCATACGCATGGATACCCAAGACAAAAGTACGCATCATGTATATAGCACGCCGGACAATGAGCGGCTGACCATGGTAACGTGGAGCCGTGACACCGTTGAACAGAAAAGAAATCTATTTTCAACTGTTGTTTTGTGGTTTTGCAACATTTGCGTTGCCGAAAACATAGAATTAAGTTTTGTCAGAATGATCACAAGCAATGAAGGCATGGAACAACCGATCGATTACAGATTCAACAAACGATGATTTAATTATTCTTCATCATATTTTCACAATCAGCTGCAGCCCCTCCATGCATGCGCTTTGACATGGCAGGATCATGCGGTACGTGCGTGCGTGTGGGTTTATACCATGCATGTGCGGGCTTTGGGTTCCTGTTTCATGTATGTTGTGTAATCCTCTGTGGGCTACGGCCCCTAAGGTTTTATGGGTGGCATGTTGTTTCATTTCGTTTGGTCACGTCAATCCCCTGTGGGCTACGGCCCCTAAGGTTTTATGGGTGGCATGTTGTTTCATTTTGTTTGGTCATGTCATGCATGTTTCACATTTTGGGTTCACATTCGCCGTGATTTGGTTCGTGGTTTGGTGACAGATTTTGGCAACACGTCAGCAGGAGATTTGCATGGCACTCTAGTTACTCTAGTTGCGAATTATGGGCAATGGCAAGCAGAAACGTGATTTGCAAACGATCATGCTGTGAGCATTTGAGCCATCACTTTCATTGAACCAACAAACATGAGTTGACATCCCGGCTGGGTGGCATGCTGCGCATGCATGTGCAGGCGGGCTTGGTTTGGATTGGGGCTGGGCACGTGCAGCAAACCGGCCATTGCAACACTGAAAATGGCAGGGTTGACGAAGTCGTTGCAGACACATCTGCAGACATATCAGATTTCCATTCGCTGCTCGCCTCAAGACCCAGTTTTTGAAATGCCGCCAGCGAAGAATTTTCAATTTGTTCGGCCTTCGCCGAAAATTTTGCCGAAAGCCATGCCTGAGAGACCCACATGGGAGAAGCATGGCATCAATCGACCGCCGCCGCCTGTTTTGCAGGTTGCTTCCCGGTTGCACCTGTGACAGTGTTGTCTCTTTTTTGAATGTTTGGTCTGAAGACTGGCCATTGCTGTTGTGTTTTCTGCAACCTGGCGCCGGCTGATATGTTTGATGCAATTTAATATTTTTCCATAGCTGCTGCACCTTTGATCAGGAGCCTCATGGTGGAGCGTGCAGTTCCCAATCTTCTGGCCCTTGGAATTCCGAAGTTGCATGGCGCGCAGCTGCGCAGATGGCACAGAGCGCAGCGCATGACTACATGGCAGCTGAAGCTGCAAAGCGGACAGCCCTCAATGCTGCCAGAGCTGCGCGTCGAACTTTGAAAGAGGTTAGCAGGTTGACACAGGACAGATGTGATATGCACAGTGATGGAAACACGTTGGAAAACATGTTCTGTATGTATTGGTTTCTGTCTGCATTATTTTCAATCCAAAACTGTTTTTTCGCCCAAAAATCTTTCAATTGAAGGACACGTGAATGTGACTGTTATATGTTTGTTTCCAATGACAATTTCACATGGCCCTGCAAATGCAGGATCTCGCTGAACGAGGAAACCATGAGATTGCTGGCAAACTTCTGTCTGCCAAGATGAGCAGACTTCAAGAGGATGATGACCGTACCCTTCTCCTGGGCGGGGAGATTCCTGTGACCATGGTGCCGGAATCGGCTGAGGCAGAGTCTACTTCACGTACCTTTCTGCCTGCAGGTATGTCCAATCCCATCGGTGCAAAGAGCTCAGCCGCTACTGTCATCGGGAATAAAGCTGCGACCGGAAAACGCCCTGCTTCCACAGCGCCGACTGTCATTGGCGCAAGCACTTTCAAAAACCGAAAGATGCCCATGGATGCCAAGACATTGCCAGCCAGTGACATTGTTTTGCCTTATGACACTGGTTCAGATGACCCTGAAGAGCACGTTAAGGAGGAAGAGTACGAAGATGTGGGGCCAGTGTATGGGACACCTGGGACGCCCGGGAATGATTTTGATGAACCCCAGATTCTGAAAGTGTCCAAGGGGTCGGTCAGATCGTCCGGACGGCGATGAAAAGACAGATATGGCCAGGACAAAAAAAGTACATGAGCCTTGCAGCAGATTTTTGACAAGGAATTAATAAATGCAGCACTGAAAAATTGTTTGCATGATTTTCATATGCACGTGCAGGCCAATCATGGGCGATAGGCTGGACAATTTGGAATTGAATCGCCTTGTTGACTTGCACTGACGTTCTTTGACACTTGATGCAGAGTAGTGGCAATCTGATATTCACTACATATTTTCATTTTGGGCATGCAGACTTGTCACAGGTGGAGCTAGCCGCATCCAACTGGGAATGGAGGTTGGCCATACAGCATGATCTTTCCTATCATGTTGCAAACTGACTTGAACCTTCAGAGGCATGTTAACAAAATAGTTCGCAGTGCAGAAGTTGTGATCAAACTGTTCGTTGAAAAAGTTTTTGTTTTGTATGCGTGATCTGCGGCTATCGCGTGCAGAAGTTTTGGAAACATAACAGAAGTGTCAATATGATCCGCTGGCAGGCCTCCAGCCATAAAGTGAACTCGTTGAGCCGTGCGCTTCTCGTGGAGACGCCATGCACACATGCAATTGCTTAATTATGTCCCTGTTTTTTCTTGCACTTTCTGCACAATGAGGTTTGAAGTCATGTCCAAGCGGCGCAAGCTCTTGCTGCAAGGACACATGCAGTGATGTTGGGTGGGGTTTTGTTGCCAGTGGAAGCGGACATGCAGAACATTTGTTCATTTTGACTGCCAGAAGATTTTCCTCAAGTGACATGTGTGCTGCGCTATCAGCATGCATGTATACCATGGGACGGTCAAAAGGGATCGTTGAGGTTCGTCTTGAACCTACCGACGTTGCTGATTTGTCCACAAAGATATGCAGCATGATGCCAGAAAAAATACAAGGCGCCTGCAGTGTAGATCCAACAAAACTGTTCGATGGCTTCGCCACCAACAGCATCTTGACTTAGAAAGTAAAAGGGATTTGCAGTTCACACATGTGACACTAGAGACTGGGTGGTGTCCTGTTCTTGTGTCAGTTTTTGCCATGTGGAAAAGTGGACTTAGGTAAGACCATGTCCAAAGACACGACCATAGCGGAATACTCGTGGGCGCTTCAGCCCCTCGCAACTCTTGTGCCATCCCAGCCCATTCACCAAGATAGCTTGCACGCCGTTCTGCAGAAGGTTATGCCAACAGCAGCCGAGGGAATGCTTTGGTTGGCAGTGTATGATTTGAAAACGTTGATGCAGCGTCTTGTTTCAATCATGCAATTTTTGCATGCACCGCAAAATTGGAGCTACGTCCTCTTGCTACATAGCATTGCTACTTTATATAAGTTCCTGCATGCGCTTTCAGCATCTAAGGTTCACCAGAAAGGTTTGGCGAAAGGCACGCCAAGGAAAAACGGATGATGGATGGCCAACCTGGGTCCGTGAGCAGCCGGTTGTTCAGCTCCTCTTTGAGACTATGCAGCCTTTTGTGGGTGAAGACTCCCAAGATGTTGCTAAAGCATGGAATATTGACGAAGCTTGTCGATGGATGCCATGTAAACAGCTTGTCAGCTACTGCTTTTAAGTATGGTTGGTTTCAATACATATTCATCAGGAAAAAGAATTGCATGAAGCTGCAGATGCTGAAGAGTCGCCAAAGCCTGGTGTTGAGGAGCGGCTGTTTTCTTTTTTCAAATTGTTGTGAACATTGTGGGGCAAGAATGCTGATCGAATCATTTGTGGTTCAGGAGTGGGAAGAATTGCAATCGCAGCGTCGCAAAGTTATTGCCCAACTGTCGGGGAAGTATGTGGAAATTTTGGATTCGGATGATGATCAGAAAGGCTTCTCGATTGTAATTTTGTGTCTGGTCCTTGCCCATATGACATTGACATACAAAGATGCATATCGGCGTTGTTTTGAGGCCGGTCAGCTGACCACAAAGGACATGCTGAAGAGCCGGGACGAGTTTTGAACTCAGCAGCCCAAAGCCTCTTCAGCGATGTTTTGTATGCATGGTGTTTTTCTTTGTGTCCTGATTAGGTGGGGCCCCGGCCTCCTTGCAACAACGCAGTCGAAGACGCTGCGCTCACTGACGAACCAGCTGATATGGTTAAGGACATATATGTTCACTCCTGAGGTAATTTATGTGAAATTTGCAGGTGCCCAAAGATTTGACACATGATGAATATATGTTGACAGGAGGTCCACGAGCTGTTGGAGAGCTCTGAAGTTCCATCAGCAGACCCCGCAAGATCTGACCTCAGCTTCTGGACGATTGCAAAGTTGGATACATGTGACGGTTCCCCTTGACTTGTGGATAGGTGATTGAAACCATGTAACATGGCTTAGATTCGAGAAAAAGTTTCTGCAAGATGCCCCATTCCTCAGGTCAACTGGCTCTGAGGAGGGAGTTGCAACCAAAACAAAAGGCAAAAGCAAAGGCAAAGGCAGCTACTTCGAAGGCCAGTAGTTCTAGGAGCTCTGTCGCCAAACGGCGATCCAGTGGGGAAGCAGCAGCAGAGGCTGAGGCTGCGCCTGATGTCAATGTACAGGACGCATACTCCATGAGAAGGCACAAGCGTAAGACCAGAGATGGTTACATACATGCCTTTGCCATTTACAGCAACACAGAGCAACGCCAGAGAGCGCAGTTGACTGACACTGCCCGGGATGATGCTGAAAGCATCGTTGCAGACCATGTTTCCAGTTTGAACAGTGGCAAGACCACAATCAAAGATGTGATTTCTGAGCTGAATGCTATGAAGTCCGCAGCTTGATTTTGTGACAATGTGCAATGCAGACGGCAGGGGTCAGTGAAAAGGTGCCAAATCTGTTCTGCAGATAGCGACGTTAGGAAGTGGTCAGTCATAATGATTTGGCATGTCGGCACTGACACTCAGTGTGCTGTGTGGATACTTGCAGGACGCTCGGTGTCTTCTGTTCCTGCGACTTTGAAATCTGCATCTATAGGACAGACTTGGATCGTTGAAAATCTGATGGCAGAAGAATGATTGTAGCAGAAAACCTTTTTGTGCTGATTCAAGCCAATTCATGTTTCTGGACTGACTTGCAGGAGAGCCAGCCGAATTTTCAAGCGTGCCATGTTCTCGGAAGAGGCGCTTTCCCGCCTTTGCAAGCTGCAAGGGACTACTCAAGTGCCCACTGGCAGTAAATGCAACTTTGCGCAAGTGTTGAGTGAAAATTTCACATCTGCATTGCTTGCAGTTTTGGCTCCACATCCATACGCCTGCAATTTCTACGTTTGATGGGTTTGAGAACATGGTGAGCATGATTCCTGTAGTTGTCCTTCTGAGGATGCTGAATTCTTTGTCCACACAGGAACTGAAAGATGTGTATGGGATGGTTGCGCTTTCAGTGCCGTGGGTCGCGGTGGAGCTGGTGATTCACGCCATGCTGATCAGGAGATTGATGCATCATGATACCCCGACTGAAGGTTTAACGTGTGTTGAATTTTTCAGTGGCTGCATTGCATCAAGCCAAGTGGCCAAAGCATTTACTGAAATGGGGCGGAGAGCACTTGCTTTTGACATTTCCAGACGCCTGCATTCTGAAGTTGTAACATTTTTCTAGCTTGATGAAGATTGCAAATTCCATTTGTGATCCTTTGCATCTCCCGAACCATGGCTGCGAACATGTTGGAAAGAAAAACAGAATGGTTCAGTGGGATGATGCAACATTAAAAGCTTGCCCAGATCTTCTGGTAATGTCACACCAAGGAAGTCTGACACATGACCTCACAACAACTTCTGGGATGGTGGCAGCCGTGATCGCATTGCTGTCCATCGTCATTGGTGGATTGGTCCATCTTGCTACTGTTTGTACCTCCTTTGTTTTCATCAACAGTGGTACGCATGGCAGAAGTATGTGGTGTCCAGAAGGGGCGGGGCTTGACTACGTCCACTTGGGCACAGTACTGGCTTCACGGTCATCTTTACTAGCCCTTGTGGGCTGGGCGCTTGGATCAGTGTGGGTTTTGGAGCAGCCTTCAACTTCATGTATGCTCTTCCTCCCTAGCTGGCAATCTGTGATCAAATATTTCCAAGACAGATCAAATGAAGGGTGGCCGCATGCGTTGGTGTTGCGGAATGCTATCTGCATGGCTGCATTCAGGGGTTCCAGTTTGAAACCTACCGCCCTTTGGTCCACTGAGTCGTTGGATCTGCTCATGAATATGCCAGTTCCTCCAAAAAGTGACCGCCCTCCAGCTCAAGCTCCTGTTTCCTATGTGTAGCTTTGATACACATGATACATGCATGCAGATGACAAAAATATGTAGTGATACTCCAAATCCTGCGCTGCTGCTTGCGCAGGGTATTTGAAAACCGTTTGTGTTGATGCGAATGGTGTTGTGCTGCTTATAAGGTACTATGACGCATTGGGGCAGCAACGTGTTTGCGGTGGTGCTGGTTTAAAGGGCACACAGGCGTACACCCCAGAATTTGGCCGGGGTATCGCTACGTGGTGGGCGACCCATGCTTCCACTTCCGGGACAGCCCCATTGCCGTCGTGATATTCCGACATTTCCCTGTGCATGTGAATATTCATGTTTGTCTTCCATGCGTGTGAGCATGCAGGAGAGAAAGGAGAAAGTGGTGCATGCTGCAGAGCGCACACATGACAGTGGATGAGATAAAGGCGGGTCCTTAAGGTCTCCTTCAATACTGATGGTGAGCACAAGATTGTGTCCTTCATATATGGGTCATTTGTTCGTTTGCTTCTTGACCAGGCAGCAATCGTGAACTACAGCCAAAAGGCACACGAACACCATTGCGATTTTGCTGATGGCCATGTGCCGGATTTGTTGAATGAATTGAGAACTGCATATACTTTGCAGCCGGGACATCCTATCTCGGTTGATTGACCCCCAGCTTTTCATTAAAGGACAAATGAGCTATATGTCATGTCTGAAAAAAGTTTGGCATGCTGTGAGATTTTCTCGTCGGATATGTGACCATGCTGGACCGTGACCGGGCGTGACCGAGCGTGACCAAAAATAAACGCCCAATATATAATTAAAGGGACGCGGCCCGTGACCAACCGTGACCAACCGTGACCAAACCGTGACCGGCCATGAGCCCATCCATGTGTGATTTGTTTCCGTACTTTTCGGGTGGGGGTGGTCATCTACGTGGCAGTGTTTAGACAACAGATGATGTGCTTCAGTCTGGGGCAATAAACATTTTGTTATTCCTGTTTGCCTGGGTTTTTTTGTGCTCACCGCAGTGGCCGGTGATTGGATCAAAGCGTTTAGTGTTGGAGACCATGAGTGGGCCTTGTAAAGAGGAGCAAATGGCCAGCCTTTTGGCGCCGCCAGAGGATCCATACCTAGTGGGTATAGCCCATGAAGCACATGTTGCCTTCCTGGAAACTCAGCCAGGCCCATGGTTTTGCATGCATGGATGTCAAGCGTGAATGGTAGACATGTAGCAGTGTGGTCATATCGTGAATGGTAGACATGTAGCAGTGTGGTCATATGGGCTCTACATATGCGCGTGCGTTTTTTTGCAATCTATCAATCAGCTCATGAGTTTGCAGGTGAAATCCTTGAACGTGCGTGCCCTGCGCCGGAGACAACGGCAGTGGTGGATGGGTTTGGGCCATGGTTTATGCATGCATCAAATCGGAGGTAACAACAGTGCTGATCGTCCTGGAATTTTCTTTTGTGGTGTCAGCCCAAGGCAAAATTTGAACCTGTCGCAGAAGCTGCCGTCGATGGAAGTCGGAGATACGCTGGCTACACAAGCCACAGTTGCAGAAGATTCACAGGTGATGCTTTTGATTTTTTGCTTGTGTGTCAGTTTCGGAAAAGAGTTCAGTTGCATGATTCCTTCAAATGGCAATTGCATCCCGGAGGTGCCAACTGAGTCGATGGACATGATGGAGATGAACAAGATATGGGAACAACATGATCGCATGGCCGAGGGGATGACTCCACCACATACCCCGCTGGGTGAAGGAGTTCCAGATGTTGCTGCGCCAACATCTTCTTCAGGTGTAGTGGCTGGTGACAAGTCAGCAGTTCCCAAGAAGCCAGACGAGTTTGTGCAGGCAACGCTGAAAGACATGAAAGCAGCTACTTGGACACCACGTCCCATTGCAACCCCCGTAACCTCAGCTAATGAGATGGCCAAGATGCTAGCTGCGATGGGCTGGACCGTAGCCGGACCCACTGGCATAAAAGAAACTGCACCACCAGCTGTGAACCCAGCAGCTCTTGAAGAAGAAGCACCGGCTGCAGCAATGTCAGTTGTGAAAGCAGCACCTGCTGCGCCCGTTGCAGAAAAAGCAGCACCTGCTGCACCGGCTCCAGAGGTTGTGAAAGCAGCTCCCGCTGTGAAAGCACCCGCTGCACCCGTTGCAGAGAAAGCATCACCTGCTGCTCCTCCAGCACAGCCAAAAGCAGCAGCACCAGCAGAGGTTGTCAAAGCAGCTCCCGCTGTGAAAGCACCACCCCATGCACCCGCTGCAGAAAAAGCAGCACCTGCTGCACCGGCACCAGGGGTTGTGAAAGCAGCTCCCGCTGTGAAAGCACCCGCTGCACCCGTTGCAGAGAAAGCATCACCTGCTGCTCCTCCGGCACAGCCAAAAGCAGCAGCACCAGCAGAGGTTGTGAAAGCAGCTCCCGCTGTGAAAGCACCAGCTGCACCCGTTGCAGAGAAAGCAGCACCGGTTGCTCCACCTGCCCGAGAGGTTGTGAAAGCAGCACCCGCTGCACCGCTTGAACAGGTGGTGAAAGCAGCAGCCGTCGTGAAAGCAGAACCTGCTGCACCCGTCGTTGCAGAGAAAGCAGCACCCAGTGCACCTGGTTTCATGACCCAGCCGGCCCATGCTCCCCAGTCCACAGTGCCTTTGACAGCAGATGCCCTGAGGCAGTTGCAACTGCAAAAGCAGATGAGCAATGCTGCTGGGTTGCATGCTGCTCCACCGCAGTGTGAACAGAAGGAGTACACAAGGAGGGCAGCAGCCAACTTAATCAAAAGGTTGAAGGAGAATCCTTCAAGGATGCAGGAGATGCCATCTTTACACAAGATGGTTTTCGATGACTCCAAGAAATCAGAATTGATCAGCATGCTCGTGGACAGCGACGGGGCTTTTGAAAAAGTTGGGGCTTCCTTGCAAGCCTTCGAGGAATCAAGCCGGGGTGAGTACAACCGTAAGAGAGCACTGCGGTGGACTAAGAGGGAGGTGGAGGAAAAATATGGTGCTGACGCAGAAAAGATCATGAAGCACAAGCGTGAACAGGGGCTTGTGGAGGATGATGAGAATTGCCCAGGTGGTGAGCTGTTTCTTATCTCTCGAAGGGAGGATGAGTGGGAGCATGTTACGCGAGGTGGAGCCTTGGCTACACATGTGTTGCTTTTTCCATGTTCCCCCCGCTGGGCTTTGGCCTGCAACTCTTTTCAGGGCATCCATGCTGCTTACATTCATACTATCACATCATGCATGAATTCGAACAAACAACCTTTTCGGATCTTTCCCACAAACCATGATCAAACCCCGCTGGGCTTTCGGCCTGCAACACTTGTTCAAAGCTTTGTATTTTTCATGTCACCCAACAAAATCACATTTAATATGGGGTCATGTATGCCATGGGCCATGCATGTCATTATATGTCACCATGACAATATAGCATTTTCATGTCACAGATGTGTCTCAACTGTAGGTGGCTGCCGCTAAAGGAAAAAGTAGCTGATTGAAAAATGCAAGCCGAGGCCAATGCGTGTCCACAGGAAGGATGGATGTGAATCGAAGCAATGCAGCTGACGTGGAAGCACTCATGACACTCAGCATATATGATTGAAATCTCTGTTTGATGGTCGTGCCTAGGGCTGTTCGATCATGATAAACGCAAAAGTGTGTTTTTGCTATCGCCGGTTTGTTTGTCCAGGACAAAGCAGACCGGACAGAAACGTGGGCTTGGATCACCGTCCACGCCATCATTGCTGGCATCAGGTGCATCAGCCCCAGGGACACCTGCTGGTGACATGGCTCCGGGGCAAGACAAGGCCGCGGGAAAGGGTGAAGGACGAAGGAAAAAAGCCAAGGTTGAAGAACCGCTGACGGCACTTCAGAAAGGTCGTGACATGGCGGGAAAATTGCTCAAGAAGAAATCGGACTCTGCCAACCTCGCCCTCACGCTCCAAAGCATCCCCTATGCAGAGCAGTTGTGTAAGGAAATGCAAAACTTTTCCGGTCTCTATGAGAAGCCCAGTCGCATTGCAGGGGATTTCAATTCATTAGCGGGTAGTCAACGACAAACGTGTTATGTGAGCCATCTGTAATCATCTCGGAACCCTGGCATGTGTTTTCCGCAAGGAAGCTTTACCTCAATGTGCAGCAGCTGGTTGCAGAGGGGAAGAACGAGGACAGTTTTGACTTTTGAGCCAGATGAAAGTGTATACGCGTGTGTCTTTTGGTTCTCACACTAACTGGCTGATGATGGGTTCCTTGCATTTTCTGTTGACATGTGTGACGTCATGTGTGAACATGGATCTTGTATTTTATGAACTTCATTTGTCTCAGTTTTCAACATGCCGACAAACATTGAAAGCTATAGTGCTTTCCTCGCTCGTATAGAATGTTTGCATGATGTTTTGACCATGTGCTTTCAGATGTGTTTCAATCAACCTGCAGGAAATGATTACATCCCATACGTCAAAGAGCTCTTGACACTGAACAAGGCTTTTGAAAAGCCTCACGGCGCGGCCACCGCGATTTTTCGGCAGGTAAACAGACCAGCCGGCAAGCGAGCAGCTAAGCCAAAGGCCAACGCTGCATGAGTTGAGTTGTGTGCAGCTGTCTTAAGTTGCTGCGGGTTGCCATGCAGAACCTAAGCTAAGCGTTGCTTGGGAAGCATGTGAGCGTTATCCGTAACGCGTTTGGTTTTGGTAGGGGTGGACGCTTTCTGGCCATGTGGTTGCAAGTGCCAAAGTTGTTTGAACAGCCTCCTCTCGGGAGCTTTCACAAAGAACTATAGAGTGTGCAGTGAGCATGCATGGCAGGAAGGTCTGTAGTTGACATGGTTTCATGTCAGTGACAGTTTGACGACATAGATCTTGAAGCACACCAGGGTGAAACAATAGGTGGCTGCTTGCAGAACACATCAGAGCATTGAATCACATATGCAGTTCTGCAGGCTTTGGTGCATAGCAAGCTGTAAAAAAGTTTCTTTCATTTTGCTCCACAGCACGCAGGTCAGATTCAACTTTGGAGCAGACGGGGCAAAAATATCGCAAGAAGATGTGCCTCTGCGCATGTATGTTTTGTTTCTTGCGTTGACACGGTTCATTGGCAATTGCAAGCATGTCTCAAGCATGCTCAATCTCCATGGAGGCATGTGGATGATATTGATTCTTCTGGCATGCGCAATCTGGCAGAGAAAATTGCGACCGGAAAGCTATCAGTTGCTGCTGCTGCTGACTGTGCGTCAGCATTTCAGAGAGATGGATCCAGTAAGGCTGGAGTAGCTTTGGTTATAAATAAAGGGTGACACAAGAAGTCATATATTTTCTTGTGCATGGCGAAGGATGGTCCTTAACAGCTCTGCAGGTGGGCGCATTGCAACTTGCAAAATGCACGCAGCGTGATTTCTTCAGATGGGTGAGACTTCCTGTCCCAATTACTACTGTGGAGATCCCTGTGTTGCTTGATGCCGGTGAATCTACATGTGGAGCTTTCCCTCAGCAAGAAAGCACAACAACAATTTCAGTCGTCCTGCCCAGTGACATGTTGTGCTCGCTTCACAAAGCTGGGCCGGAGGCTGCTTTGCTTCATTATTTATTTTTTTTGATTTGGGCAGAAATGGAATTTGGAATTTTGCCGCATCAGAGGCTTTTGCTGGTCTTACCTAAGTCCTAAGTCTCACGCCAATCATTTTTAGTTGGAAGATGTTGGAGTTGCAATGACTCAGGTCTGTGTGAAAGGTTTGTAGGTAAACTTAAATCTACGGCAAACGTTGGAGGATGCTAAAAACATAAAGGTTTACAAACACGATGCAAATCCAAAAGCCAAGGTATTGAAAGAATGCCTGGGAACTGACTCGGATTGGGCCGATCTGTGGCGCGCATGTGGCTGTGATGAGCAAGCAACGACTCATGTTCCTATAATTGTGCATGAAGATGGGGTGCCGCACTTTTCAGGTGCACCCGCCCATGTTTAAACACATTGTATTTTCAATATGCAGAATCGTGTTTAGCCTGAGGTAGCCATGCTGATTTGAAATTGGCCCAGGATCTACAGCAACAATTTGGAGCTGGTCGACAGGATGTGTGCGTGCCGATTCGTGGAAGACAAGACAATGCATTGCAGTGATGGCCACCTCAAAGGTTACTGACCGTACTCGTGAAACCATCTGCAAACTCTTAGCCTGGGACTTTGCTCAATTGCAAGCTGGCGTGTGGGATTTCCTTGACAGTGCTGGAAATTTTCACAAGTTGAATTCTGTTCAAGAAAGCCGTGCTGGGCAAACAATGCCTATCAAAGGGGCAACTTGTTGAGTCATTGTCAAGTTTCGTTTATGGTCAATTTTTTCCATGCTTTACTTTGTATGACTTGAGTCAACATATAAATGAGCAGGGATGAAACGATATATGTGAATTTTCATTTTTCGTCTTGGCAGGCATTTTGCCTCTGGAAGGGCGACATGGAAGCTCATGTCTTGTCGCACAAAACGGCAAGAAACTACCGCTGCAGTCTGTGTTGCGATCTTTGCTTGGCGGTAAAGAACAACACCAATCCCGTTATGAGCATTGGCAATTTGACCACGGATGCTGCATGGAAGCGCACAATTTGCTTTGTGGACCCCATGGATCCTTCACCGTGGATGCAAGTTCCAGGTTTCAAAAGCAAAAAGTGTAGGTTGCTGGACATTTTACATATCGTGCACCTTGGAACCTTGCGAGGCATTATACCTTCTTGTCTCATTGATGCTCTGGATGATGGCACTTTGGCACAATTCTATGGGTTGCAAGGGCAGAATGACGATCTCATTTTATACCGGATGAGTCAACACGCACACAAATGGGCAAAGGATCAGGGATTGGACTTGTACGTGGGAACCCTGAACCTCCACAGACTTGGACTGGACAACCGAAAATGGCCCTTCCCTGTGCTGGATTCACGAATCAAAGCAGCCCGATGCAGAACTTTATTTGCATTTGTGACCTGGTTGATGACACGACTTGCTGCATACCCTTGCCAAACACAAGAGCAACAGCTGAATTCAAGGGTTCGTGCTGTTTGCTGCTGGACGCTAGACTGCGCGCTTAGCATTTTCAACAAGAACAAAAAAATCAAGATGAGAGCATCCATCGTGAAGCAGACTGTGTGGCTATGCAGGATGCATTCAGCATGTTACCAGTGGCTTGGCGCGCGCTGCATTGTGCAGAAACGTCTTCTGTACAAGGTTCGTCCAAAAACCCATTACTTTACGCACATGGTCGACCACTATGAAGAAACTGCTTTGTGTTTGCTACACTTGTCGACATTTGGAGATGAAGATTTCATGGGCAAAGTTCGCCGCATTGCTCAGTCGTGTCACGGGCAAACTTACATGCATGCCTGGGCAAGGCGTTATGTTCTCAAACGTGCCATGCAATGGTCTGAGATGCGAGAAAAGGAAAAAGCGCGTTTTGTACCAGGAGACATGGGATAGCACTACAATGTACTGGCGTTAACACTGTGTGAAATCGGGTTTGTGGAATGCATGCGCATGTGACAGGATGTTTCCACTCACTTGCGTGTTTTTTGCATTTGTTTCCTTGATGCCACGAATAAGCCCAGATTTCCTTGCATACTTTTTCGGAGCATGTAAGTTTAGAAGCAGATGGATGTAGCCAGGCATTTGGTACCAACAGCACATGTTTTTATAACATCTGCCTGGGATGGCTGAAAATGTGAATTGGGCACGCTGGCTTGTAGGTCTGCTTGAAGCAAACTAAACGAGAACCCAGGATAGACAGATGGGATAGAGTTCATTGCAATTAGCAGAAATAGCGACTAGAAGAAGAATGTAGACGTAGCTGACACAGCATGAATTGTGGCCCCTTGTGCCCTTGTTTTGGGGGGCTTAGCATATATATTGGCTGAAAAGGGGGGAAGCCCAGACATTTTAGCTTCACATGCCACTTGGCCATGTGCTTGAGCCAAAGAAACGTCTGTGGGTGTTAATTGAGCACAAGAAACGCCTGTGGGTGTTTATTTTGCTTCTGGGTGTAAAAAGTACACCCAACCCCCAGATTGGCATGTCCAGGTTCCTACAAGCTCGTGCGACGTGAAAGTCTTCCACCCAACTTTCAAGCTGCCATTCAGGTTCCAGATTTCTTGAAAGGTGTGGAACAAAACAGCAGAGACGTCATCTTGCTGTCCAAACTGTACATGGCTTCAAAGAACCTTTCGCAGGCACCCATCGTTTTCCTTCCCTGGGCATGGCTCTGCAAGCTCAGCCCGCGGCCTTGTGACATTCCGATTCCCAGGCACAAATTCTCCGAACGCCAGAGCAAGGAGTTCCAGAAAACTGCCGAGCTCATGAAGCAGTGGGATTACATGAAAGCTCACAACTACCTGATGGAGCTGGCCACTTGACTTGTTGTTTTTTTTTTGCCTTTCCGGAACCCAAGCCGCCCTCCTTAAAATACTGGGTTCAAACCGTTGGCCGGGTGTGAGGCTTTAGAGGAGTGAGTCGCACCAGCAGCGAGCTTCTAGATTGAAGCGTCTTGCTGGCAGCCTTGAGGCCAACCGGCTAGAAGGGCAGCCGATGACATCAGGACAAATGGGCTAACGTGCCTGTGATGGGGCCCTGCGACACTCCTCTAAGTTGAATCGGGAGGCCACTACTTGAAATCCATCCTTTGTCATTTTTCAATTCTTTTTTGTTGTTAATTATTTGGTTCACTGCTTAGGTCATTAACAACCGCCATGGCCGAGCCGATTCTTGGATCTTGCCCGTGATTCATTGGGTTTTCTGCGGCCGTCGTGGACATTCTGTCCGTGAAGATGATTTAGGACCTCAGTTGGATTTGGGCTTTGCCTTCACTGGGCCTTTGGAGATTGCTGTGGTGCCAGAGACCAAACGCACGTCTTCGGCGCCTGCTGGTTCTTCAGTGCAAGGCGCTCCTCTTGGATCAGCTGCAATTGAGAAGGGATGTCCTCCAGGACAACATGCTGAAGCTGCACCGGCTGCACCTCGACCTGCTCCTGGCGCCGTTTGCTTTGCTGCAGCTCCAAAGGCAGCTGCTAAGAGAGCCCCCAGGGCAGCTGCCAAGACAGCTCCGAAAGCAGAACCAGGACAGGGACGAGGACGAGGAAAGGGGCGAGGGAGAGGACGAGCCGCTGCTGCTGCTGCTGCTCCTGCTGGTGCACCTGCACCTGCAGCAGCAGACGGTGTCTCGCCTGCTGCTGAAGCTGAGCCCCCGGCGCCTGCTGAGCCTAGTGCTAAGAAGAGGCGCATTAGCATTCCTCCTGGTGTCAAAGTTGGCTGCGGCAAGTGCAAGCATGACGAGGTTGGCTGCACGACTTGCAGGCCCAAGGCAGGCTTGGTCGAAAGTGACAAGAAAGGCGTCTGGATTTTGAAGCCCGCAGTGTAGGTCTGTGGCTTGCATGGATCTGGTAGACATGATGGACATCATGATTTCTGCTTCGGAAGAACAATTTTTTTGCGGAGACAGATGGGTGTAGAACAGTTGCCCAAAATTCTGAAGCCAGATGCATGTCGCCGCTGGACCGTTGCTGTGAACTTTTGAACACGACTAGGGGAAAGACAATTCTGAGTGAAATTGTCGGTGAAAAACATTTAAATATTAAATCATGCTGCATGCTTGTTGAATTAACAGTTACGGTGCATCAGCAAGCGGTCAAAGTATTGTTGAATTTCACACAGTCTTGTTGCTTCGGGTCTGTCGACACAGCCGAGAAAGGCAGACAGGGGAGGTCCATCAAGTGCATGGACGGAACGTATTTTGCTCAGCTAAAGATATATGACAGAGCTATGACGGCCAAAAATCATTGCCGGGCTGCTCATTTGTCGCCTGGTAAAGGTTGGGAATTTTCGAAGTAAGCTTGATTCTGTGTGCCTCGGTTTCTCCTGCGCTTTCTTGCAAGATCCAAGGTGCTGAGTGATGAATTCTTTGTTCCTGAAGCTGTGGCTCAAGAGCTTTGAAAGCAGAAGGCACTTTGGGCGCGAAAAGTGCCCCTGCTAGACTGTCGTCACAATGAGTGACAGCCTGTCAACGCGGCGCGTGGATGCCATCATGGAAATTGTCTCCGATGACACAGTGGATGTGTCAGAGCTCTTCAGTCGCCCACGCCTGGTTCCACGATGCCAGTTTTTCAACTTGATTGCGGGCGAGTCGTTTGATTGGAAAGATGACGAGGAGATGGATCTAGCTGGCGTCAATGGCCGCGCAACAGTCTGGAACCACATCAATTTGTATGCGCCCAAAGTCTTTGTGCTATCTCCCCCTTGCACATTATATTCAGCGCTGGTGAACATGTGGGGTCGCAAGGCCATGGGTGAAGCCAAGTACCAGAAGCGTCGAGAAGAAGCAGATCGTTTGCTGAGCTTTGCATGTGAAATTGGCCTGCATCAGCTGCAGTGCCGTCAGCACTTTGTCTTTGAACACCCTGATGGCGCATCCAGCTGGAAGACTGGGCCTCTACTTCATTTGAGCCAGCAACCGGATGTCATTGCGACACGCTTTGACCAATGTCGCTTTGGCCTCCGCAGCCCAGGTAGCCAGCAGCCCATTCGCAAGCGGACCCGTTTGCTTCACAATGTGCCTCAGTTATGTCAAGCATTTGGTGACGCCTTCTGCCAATGCACAGTGCCCCACAGGCGCATCGAAGGATCGGAGAATGGAGTGCAGCTGCTTGCCGAAGCTTGTTTGTTGCCCCTGTTGCCCTTTGATGTTGTTTGTGTAAGACTATTTAGTGCGCAGCCCCTCCCCGCTGCGCACGGTGGCGCCCTCCAGCAAACTAACTGGCGCCTCCCAAGTTAGGAGGCAGCTGGCTGCCTCCTTGACATTGAACGATTATCATGTATCAACCAATTCAAATTTAGGAGGCTTAGCTGGTGTAAGCTTCCTTGTCAGATGTAACTGGGGTTTCAGGAGACTTATTATTATTTAAGCCTCCTTGCCACTCTAAATTTTTAAAGCGAAGGAGACGACTAACCTGTCATTTTAAACTGCTGCAGGGACACATGCCATTCAAATCCAGGGCGCCAAGTAATCTGCATATGCACGGGCAAGTTCCGACATCGTCTTCAAGGCGACCTGTAAGTCATCTTGGAATTCTTCCAGGCGGCCGCATCTTTCTGCAGCCTTGATAAAAATGCCTAAGTTTCCCACGGCGGCCAAAGCCTCAGTCATGGATTGATCCCTCTGAGGCCTAGTCTGCCCAAGCTCATTGAACCGCACAAACATTGGTAAGTTTTCAAAGCCTGGTACTTCTCGATGTGGAAAACGCAGCACGGACATTGGGACTTCTTCCAAGTCTTCAGCCTGTGTGATGTGAGGAAGGCCAAAGCGCAAGTTGGTCAACACGTCGTGGCACAAGGAGAGTGCAGGCACAGCGCTGCCATCGCAGAGCTGTGCGGTGTAGTAGAGGCCATTGCGGAGGCGTTCCATCTCGTGCACCACATAGTCATCCCAATCAACGAACTCCCGCAAAGTGCGCCTTAAGGCCAGAAGGTCAGTCCACTTCATGGCTAGGCTCTTCAAACGAATGACACAAACATTACAGCCAAGGCTGCCGTGGGAGTGGGTACAGCCAAGTGAGGAGGAACCGTTAAATTATTTAAAGTTACTTAGTCGTGAGTCAGGCCGAGGCTGTGGCAAAACTTATTTCTGAACAGCTTTCACAGTGGCCACAGCAAAAAAACGCACACAACAGCTTTTATCCTCCTTTGCGCATCAGTCAGGAGAACAAACGACTTAAAGATCAAGATTGGCCAGCGCAGTGCTCTCACTGCAGGCTCCCCGCACTGTCACAGATCCAGTGACAATGATACTACCCGTCACAAGTTAATAGCGACGCCAAAAATATCTACCAGGCCATGCTCGACCCTGAACCGTCAGAGGCGGCGCCCTCGTCTTCGACACTTTTCTTCTTCGTCTTGTTCTTCGTCGTCTTGGGCTTCTTCTGCTCAGGCTCTTCGCCCTGGGCCTCCGCCTCCTCGTCACCGTCACCCGGCACCGTCTCATTCTTCTTGGGGCGCTTCTTGGTCACCGGCTTTGCTTTGGCCTTTGACTTGGGCTTGGGCTCGTCATTCTGGCTCTTGACCGTCATCTCAGGGATGTAGTAGGTGGATCCATCCCGCTGCTGCTCTTCGTAGATGTATTCCGTCAACATGATCTCAAGCTTCTTGCAATGTCCATCCGTCCCGCAAATTGCAAGACAAGGAGTGCGAGAAGACATCGCTGCTTTCAGGAGCTCTCCTGCAAGATTTTCCGATGAAGTTAAAAAAACCAATGACTTAAGTAACACGGGTTGCGGTCCTTGTGCTGGAGATGTGTCGACAATGCCGATGCAGCTCAGGGAATGGACCATCTCCATGTAGTACTCGACCGGCAGCATGGAGCAACTGAACACGCTCTCAAGCTCTCCAGCTCCTGCCGCATCCTCTGCCGGCTGGCCGTCGCCTTGCTGGCTTGAGTTGGCCGGAATGAACACGTGCCGGCTGCCAAGGATGTCCAGCTTGTCCTTCCTGACAATGGGGCAGCGAAGATGTTTTGAAAAACGCTGACTATATTTGACACGACAAACAGCTAAAGCTAAGAACCACCAGCCTGGGAACTCGCCAAAGCTTCGAAGGGCCCAAGCAAGAAATGTACCCGATGACGTCGCCGTGGCTAAAGCCGGGATAGATCTTGCGCTCAACCTCGGGCATGGTCAAACTCAATGGCTTCTCACTGTAGAGGTTGCACAGCATCTGCTGGCTGTAGGCGCCCGCTCTGACGATCTGCTTCCTTTCACGAACCGATTTCTCATTGAACATCAGCCACACAGACTGCTTGGAAGCTTCCTTGAAGAGCTTGGGGCCAACGCTCAGCGGGTCTACCACAGCCACCACAACCCCTTCGGCAGGCACAGAGCAACGAACCTTCTCCACTGACTGTGCCCCCAAGGCGATGCAAGGGCAAGCAGCAAGCTTCTCGACAAGGTCAATGTCCTCAGTCAGCAGCCGCTCAATAATATGAAAATTTTGAAACCGCAGTGTGGACTCTTTGACTGAAAAAAATGTCAAAAAAAAAATGAGCCAAGCAGCTGGCTTCCAGCGCTTGCCTCGGAGCTCCGCTTGGCAGTGAGGGCCAGAAGATTCTCCAAGCAGCGCGGTGTCGAGGTGCACCAACAGGGTCTTCTTTCCAATTTCAGGCTGCAGGCCAGTCGCTGCTTGCCATTGGGAAACTTGGAGCTGCAACTGAGAATCATTCTTGCCTTCCGTGACGAAGGTCAAGTACATCCTGACTGACTTGTTGGCAACTGCTCTCCAATAGCTCGGGCTGCCTTGCTTCAGAGTGTTTGGGGCCTTCCTGGCTTCTGTCAGCAAAGCCTCCTCATCTTGAGAATCTTCACCGTCGCTGAGCTCCGCTTCCTTTGCCTGGTTCTGGGCAAGCTCGTTCTGGCGCATTGCGATGACTTGCTGCCAGCGCTCGTTGATGGAGTCCAATTCCAAGACGACCTCCGGATTGGTGCTGACTCCTTTGCAAATGCCCCTCAACAAGTTGTCGAACGTTTTGAGGAAGACCACATCCCGGAAGAAACGCAAAGCCTCTTGCCCGGACCTGGACATGCTAGCCTGCCACTGCACGCTGTCTTCACAGGCTTGCCGCATTGAAGGACAATCCCGGCATCTGGACTTGATTGCCTCCCGGTCAGTCTCTGAGATCTTGGCCTGCAGCATGAGGGTGTCACAGATGTAGTTGAGAAGCTTCATCTTCCACTCCCACAACACCACGAGACCAGCCGTGTGCTTGTCTCCCAGCAACGCCTTCTTGCTGATGTCTTCGTTCTCTGCCAGCCCATGCTCCAAATGGTCCAAGAGCATCTGAAAAATCCAGCGCCTGGCAGCTTTGCCACTGGGTTTAGTGGCAAGCTTCTCAAGCTTGACCAAGCTGTTCAGGCAGCTGTCAAGTCCATGCTTGCTCTCCAAGACTCGGATCACTTCCAAGACCTCGTCATCTGAGCCAAGCTGCCGCATGACATGTCCAGCAGCGGTGAAGTTCCACTCTGTGAAGATGCCGCCGTTGGAATTCGCAGAAGTCTTCGCAGTTGTGATGGGGTAGGTCTTGACCAGGGCAGCCACTTCAGAGTCTTGGAGCCGACGGTTTTCGACAGATTCGAGCATGGCCTGCAAACTTGACGATGCTAGAAAGCCGCGTAAAAAATCTGGAAAAAACAAATCAATCACAACTGATTTTCGCAACACAGAGGCCTTCAAACTGACGAGCTCTGCGCTCATTTGGAAGGCTGTCCTCGCCATGGATTCATGCTCCTGCATGACCTGTTGCCTTCGGCTGATCGCCTTGTGCCAAATGTCCTTCTCAGCGCACAGCACCATGCAAGTGGGAATTCCCAACCTGAGGCTGGCATGGTGACAAAATGTTATGATGGTACAAAACACTAAAAAAATTACCGACCCCATTAATAATCAAAGTATGCCTCCCGAAAAAAAAAAAAGTTGGCTGTTCTTTGAAAATTAAAACCAAGCGGCAAAGTCAGCCGCCACTGCTTCCTCTCTTCCTCGTTGCAGTCGGCTTCTCTCAAGCGCTTTGCGCAAGCAAAGACAATGGCGTGGGCCTGTTCCTCCGGGCTGATCAGCTTCAGACCGGCTGGCCTGTCAGAGAGCTCCTCCTTGACCACGGCAACTTCGAGGACCGAGCGAAAGAAAGAGTGCCCCGAGCCGAAGCAATGGGAGCCCAAGTCCTCCACCCTCTTTCTGCAAAGCGGCACCGATGGATTGGATGTGCGATACAGATCAACCCACATCAGATTGCAGGCTGAGATGTACAAACCTTGGCCATCAAGGGCCTTGCCAGCATCCTCCAGGTGGAAAGGCTCCTGGCTGAGGGGCAATGCAATGGGTTATTTATTATATGTTACTTTGATTGATTACAGAGTCCATGCCTGGTTTAAAATGAGCCAGGAAAATATGAAATTAAACGATGTTAGGGGGTCGTCATGTCAGTCATCTTGTCATTTGAAGCTGCAGCATGCTCCTGCACTCCGCCCTTGTCATCGTTTGCTTGGACGATCGGGACGGGAAGCTCCGACTTGAGGTCGCCAAGCTTGTCTGCGATCACCTGCAAATCGTTCTTCAAGCCCTGCATGTAGGCTTCATTCACCCCAGAATCCTTCAGGCCTGGCCCAACAACACAGCTGCTGCCGGCTGGGTCGGCTGGATTCTTGGGAGCAGAGTTAGCCTTGGCGCTTTGCTTCTGCAAGCTCTTCAAGTGCTTGGCTTCCTGGAAAACCCTCTCCAAGCGCTTCTTCTCCTCTGTGTGCTTTCTGTCATACTCGTCTCGAGCCTCTTCCCGGAGCTGAGCATTTTCAGCTTCCCACTCGGCCAAGTCCTTCTTAACTTGGTTCTGCTCCGCCTTGTTCAACCTCCATGCTGAAGGGCCGCCCATGACCTAGGTCAGAGTCTAAGAACAAAGCCGTCGCTGTTTGAGTGAAAATGCTGCGGTATAGGTGAAAAATAATACATTCCGGCTGCCTCAGCCACAAGTGCAAACATCACAGGAAAATCGCGCCAAAGCAGGAGTGAAACAAAAGAACGCTGGCTGCTTTTCTTTTTTATACCGCTCACTTGGCCGCTTCTCCTTGGAAGGTGTGGTCAACATCTTTAAATGCAGTTGGGGATGCCCAAAAATCTGTCCTAGTAACTTGAGATGGCCACAAGCCGCTCGCAGCCAGTGCCCGACTGAGGACCCGTTGAAGCACATTCAAGCTCATTCCATCTCCAAATGCTGCTGCCACTTCGTTTTCGCATCTGGCCTGGGTGAACCTCTTGTCGTTTGCGTGCTCGGCCAAAAGTTTTCGAACCATGTTTCGGCAAATGCTGACTGGAATGCCTTGCAGCTGGGAAAATTCTTCCACTGACAGCCGCCGAGCCAAGCGGGGCACATAGTAGCCACGAGCTTTGCACCGGCTACGGGTGAGGCAAGGGCTCACCCGATGCTTGGGAATGCTGGTGAACCGAGCGGACGAGGCGACGTCCAGGATCCAGTAGCCAGTTCGAAGCTTCTCGGTTGCAGTGCTTGGGCCAAACTTGCTCAAATCCAGTACTTCATCTCCCACTTTGCCGACGTCCAAGATGGATTCAATCGGAGGACACTTCCCCAAGGCCTTGGGAAACCGGAATTCGGCAATGGGATTTCGCAAGGCCACGACCCAAAGACGGGGTCTGCTTTGGGGCAAGCCGTGGTCGCAAGTCTGCAAGACTTTTGCACGGACCGTGTACCCGCAAGCAGCAAATGTTTTGCGAAGCATCTTCTGGGCCAGCCAATGCTTCTTTTCCAAGAAGCCAGTCACTTGCTCCAGCAAAACTACGGGCGGCTTGTGGTAGGCTATGTACCGCAGCCCAGCCACCAATGGAATGCCTCTTTTTTTCGAATCCCGCAAGCCGAATCTGCGTCCCATTTTCGAAAATGCAGGGCAAGGAAACCCTGCCAGCCTGATTTCGGCACCTGGGGAATCTTTGGGGTCTCTTTGGAAGATGTCTGTGGCAAAAGACTCTGACTTACAGCTGGTCCGGCAGGTTTCGTGAACCACACCAATGAGACATCGCTTCACTTCGTCAATTTCACTTCCACCAACGATGGTGAAAAACTGCTTGAGTCCTAGTAGTGTCAAAGCGATAGTCTCAGCGCTGATTCCAGCGCAGTCAGAAAAAACTCGGAGCTTGGAACCTTTTGGCCTTGGTTGGAATGGCCGAGCTTTGTGCTCCTTCACGTAAGCCTTGAGCTTCCCCACGAGCTTCTCCAGCTTACTCTCTGCGACTTCCGTTGTCCGTGGCATGCTCTAAGTGAGTGAGGCCCTACGCTTGCACTGCAACACATGTGAGACTTCTAGCACTGCAACACAGAATTGTTGAATCTCAGTGTGAGTAATGTCAGGTGTCAAGACATATCGTAAATTACTACATTCCTCTGTGAGCATAGACATCGCGCAGGCGGCTAAGTTGCTTGCCGGGTTACCCACCCCTGCCTCGCAAGAAAAAGTGTGAAATTCTTCGCGAGGTGACCCTAGGGCATTAACAGGGCTTGCTCGCAGAGCCAGACCGGCCCGGCTTCGCGAGGGAACCCTGTTAAAAATCCACGCAACCCTGTGCGAGCCATTTCCCAGGGTAGCACCGATTTTTAACTCCCCTCCCTCGCAAGGCCAGACCGGCCCGGCTTCGCGAGGTGACCCTAGGGATTTAACAGGGTCACCTCGCAAAGCCAGACCGGTCCGGGTTCGCGAGGCTCCTCGCAGAGCCAGACCGGTCCGGCTTCGCGAGGTGACCCTGGGGGCACCTTGCCGCGAAGTGTGAGGAGGCCATGTCGGCCTGCCTTAGCTTTGACAATTTTGTTAAGTTAGGAGACCATGTCGGCCTGCCTTACCTTTAGTGGAAAGCACTTTGTCTCAAGCTGTCCTACTCAACTAGGAGGAGACCGCTTGGCCTGCCTTGATGATGGCTTATGTCTTAAAGTCTATACTTTGAAAAGACAATGCCTTGGGCTTTCGCTTTACTTTTATGTTCACCGTTCACGCTGCCGACACTCCGAAAGAACGACCATAGTCGATGCATGCTGCAGTTAATAACTGTACAAACTCGTCTTTGCTGTGCCAATGACCGCCTGCTCGTTTCAGCTGGGCCAGATTAGCATCGGTCTTGTCTTTGACAAGGCAAATCGTATTTTTCCGCACATTTTCAAGGGCTACTCCAGACCATTTTCTTCTCAAAAACCGCCCACCTCAGGAGATGAGTCATGGCTGGCTCTTGTTGCTTGAAGTCTGGCGTGCAGTGGAGCGTGGGCCACTTCCGTTTCAAAGACTCCAACTTCTGCAAGCAGTATTGAGATTTGATGCCGGCGCGCTTCAGTAGCAAGGAGTATGACAAAATGCAGCCCCCAGTTGCCACGGCCATGAAATAAGCCTTCGAGGGAATAGCTGAATCGTCCACAACAAAGACAGAGGCAGCTCGGATGTCCTAGGCATTTGAAATGGCCGAGAGGCAAAAAAAACAAACCCGAACCACCCATGCCTGGAAAGTAAAAAGCTCCGGTCCTGCTCCTGCAGCAATGGGGCGCACGCCGTGGGAGGCAATCCAGTGGCGAACCATGCCTTGGCTGGCCCTAGTGATTGCCATCTCCATGTGCGCGCATTCGTTGTGGAAAGGAGCTGGGATTCTTGCTTCTTCCGTTTCAAATGCATGGCCTGATCTGCTTTGGCGTCCTCCCTGGCTCTCTTGGCAGCTGCCTGCTCCAAGCTCAAGCCTTCCGCGGCACCCAAGCCGAGGAAATAGCCATCACGACGCGCCTCCACCTTCTTCTTCAGAAGCGTTTCTCGCGAGTTGGCAATTTCCTGGCAGAGGGTAGCAAAGAAACGACGACTTTACAGAAAGTTTTTAAGACCAGCCAGCCCTGTCCTTCTGAGCTTTCTGTGACAAATTGGCTATCGCAACTTCGTGGTCCACAGGTTTTTGCCCTGAAGTGCTTGCAGCGGCTGCCCTGACAGAAGCCCGCCTACGCTTGATCCAAGTCTTCTCCACGACTTTGCCAGCAAGTTTTGCTCGAGGACCTGTCTTGACCCCCTTGTCTAGGCGCTTCCTTTGGTATTTGCCAAGGTGTCTGGATACTCTTGCTGCATATAGAGCACGGGCCTTGTCCACGACAGAAGCCAAAGACGCTGCAGGGGAGTCATTGTACGTCAAGCACACCATCGCTCGACGCTCTGAATCGGCTGCCTTTGGCCCGAAATGCTTAGCTCCATGGCTCCTCTCAGCTTTGGAAAAAGCTTGCTCCACGCCAGAGCTAGAGGTTGTCCAGCAGGCATGCGCTTGAAGCAAAGGGGCCAAATTCTTGGTTTCATATTTTTCCCTCAAAGCAGAAGATGCTTGGCTTCTTCGGAATGCTTGTTTCCACGCATCCCTGCTAGTGCAATCTTGCTGTTCTCGGAATGCCATGGCCACTGGCCGCAGAGCGTCAAACTCGGAGACCAGCCATTGCTCATCAACTTGCAAGGCGACGGCTAGTTACTGAAGGCAAGCATATAGCCGGCCACCAGATCGCAGATCCAAGACGCTCATCGATGAGAAGAGATGGAAATGCGGAAACTCAGCCTCGCAAGCCTCATGACACAAATGAACCCACGGTTTGAAGGCTTCCAGGACAGCACGGCGATCGCCCGCAGACACCCTCAGCCTCTTCTGCTGACCCCTGTGCTTGACATAGAGTCCAGGCTCTGCTTGCAACAGGTCTAGACAATGCTTGCTGTATCCATTCACGTCGAAGACTTGCCCTGGCTGTCCAAATTGGATGTCTACATTGCGCAGAAAACTGTGGACCTCTGAATTCAGAATGGCCGGGTCTTGCGATTCATTGTCCATCAGCCGCAAAAATTCCATCACTGTATCAGCTGCATCAGCGGCTGCCGCAACAAGAAGCAATTTCTTGGCAGAGACGTTGTCCATCCACTTGTGCAGCCAGTCACAGTCTTCCTTCAAAGCCAAAATTTTGTGTAATACATCAAATATCGGTCTCATATTCAAACAAAATCTCCCAAGAGGTTTGGCAAAGGACGCGAAGCGGTGCTTTGCCGCCGATAAGCTGCTGGTCTGGGGGCCGGCACCTTTGGCAATGGCTTCTTGCAGCCAAAATGAATAGTTCGGGGAGTGGAAAATCTTTTGCGCCAAGGATTCTTTGTTGGTGACTGTGCTGCTAACAGCGTCTTTCACGTCATCCATGACATGCCAAGGCCGTTTCAGCAGTCTCATGCAAGCATGGCTTGCATCGCGGCCCAGCAAAACGATGTTTGGGAAAAAAACATCTCTCTGCAGTTCGGCTTGATCTGACCGGCGCCGAGATCTGAGTATATCCGACGCAAGTAATTCAGCTGACGCAGCATCGGTTACCATGATGTGAACATGGCTCCGAACGTGGCTGAGCAATGCCTCATCCACTGACCCACCAAAGCCAGGTGTGCAAAATAGTTTCAAGGCTTTCACTGTGGCTCTTGCGATGTGTTCCGAAGTCTTACCTTCAACCAGGCGAGGCTGCCCAATGCAGCCGCTGCAGACTCGCAAGTTCGCATCCACTGCCCTAAATCGCAGCAGCAAGCGGCCTTGTCTTTCCTGGGCTCGGAACGTCAAACTCTGAAAGTTCAAAGGATGTCTGGCCCCGATAATAATAAATCGACAAAGTAGAGTTAAATGAGAAACATTTGCTTGAAAATGCAAGATTCATCCCGCATCAGAGTGATGCTTTGGGCACTGGCCAGGAAGACGCGGTAAGCGTGCAAGATAGCTTCGGAAAGGCAATAGTGCATCAACTTGGTTCGGGTCGATGGTGTTCCGTCCCCTTTGTCGCGCTGAGAATGTCCTCTGCTCAGCTTGCGCACGAGGTCTTGCCATTCTTCAGCAGCAGGGGCATGAGAAGTTGGATCAGCTGCATGAGCGGCAATGTGGTACTTGGATTGGGCATGGTGCCGAAACCTCCAGCTCTTCCAAGTGACTTCGGGCCGAACTGAGAAAGTGGCATAAGGGGAAAGCTGCGAAGTATCACTCCCGGCTGCAGTAAACTTGGCAGCATGCAGCGCGCAAATTTTGCACCCCACTGTCAAAATGTTGCTATTGCCCGCAAAACCTGCCCGCAGCCAAGGAAATTTTCTCCTCCAAAATGAACCCTTGAGCAGCCAAGCGTTGTCTGAAGTCTGGCAACGCTGCCCATGTTCCACCAATTTCTTTGAAGACGGCGACACTAGCGTCACATCAGGCACGATTTTGGCAGGCAGAGCCATGACCCCTGGATGCCTCAATGTCAAGCCAGTCTGCAGCACACATCAGAAAAAATCTTCCAAGCAAGCGTGGCTGTTCTGAATGACGTGGAAGTTTCTACCCGCGTTGCTATACTACCCCCAACGCATCGCGGCTGTGGGCTCCCCTTTTTTTTCTCCCAAGACGGCTATCAAAGCAACTTTGGCCACTTCCGGGTGAAAACTCGGGGTGACTGCATCAGGCCATGACAAATGAATTAATAATCTTAATTTAATTAATTGTGCTCAATTCAACTACCGCACCAACTTCCCTCAGTCAGCGTCGACTCGTCATCGTCATCTTCTACCATGACGCCCCGCCGGATCAGCTCTTTTTCGATTTTTCTGGCCAGAGTTCGTGCCTGGTTCTTGAAAGGCGAGCAATTTTTGAGGTAGCCCCATTTCGCTTGGAGGCCCTTTGTAGACATGTTTTTGAGCATGTTCTTCTGTTTCGTCAGGGCTTCAGGATTCAGAGGAAAGCAGCTGTCACTCTTCAAGGGCAAGATTGTCGCTTCGTTCTTCACGGTCTCTTTGATCACTGTTGAAGACGGCATGGCTGCAAGATACTGTCTAAACACTACAAAGTCAAAGTTTCAAACTTCCCTGGCCAACCTGTTTTTTTGGGCAAGCAAAGCAACAATTGAATTGCAAGTGTGCAAATTTAGAAGCAAACCCGTTCGAATTCCTGATTCTAAACTCAGAGGCTTTCACCGGCTGTCCAAACACCGTCCTTGACCAGCGAAGTGTGAGTTGAACTCAGTCTCCTTTGAACTAGGAGACTGGCTGCGACTTGATTTATTAGCCAGTCTTGACAGCCGCCTCCTTTGTCCAGGAGATTGCGGAGGTCATATCTCCTTTGACACTGGCTGCGAAAAGCTTTGCTTTGACAGCCGCCTCCTTCGTCTAGGAGACCCTGACTTGAAGCCCGATCGTCTGCAAACATTGATGACGACTAAGCCTCCTTCAGTCATTGACCATTGACCATTGTGTCAGGAGACCGCCCTGATATATCCAACCCAGTGTCATTACCAGACCACGAAACCACTTGGCCGCTTTGCGCCCCTTTTTTTAACCACCCGCTGCTGTCAGTCTCTGTCACGTAGACACCCAGGACCAGGTCCAGCGCCCTCTTTCGTGGTGACCTCCTCCACCACCGCGGGACCAGTCTTGCCACCCATCCCAAAGAGGTTTTTTGGGTGGGACGTAGTGCCAGTTGTCGTCGTCATCTTCATCTTCGTCGTCTTCCCAATCCCACTGGCCCCGCTTGTTGTACCAAATTGTTCTCTGCCGGCCCTTGTTGCTCTTCTTGCGCTTCTTTGACGACGGTTTCCAGTAGATGTCCTGAGGGCGCATGGCGCGACCAGAAACAAAATCCATTGGAAGAAAAGGAAAAAACCAGACCTATTTACTGGGGGCCGCCCAAACATAAAAACTGCTAAATTAAATCCCAGGCTCGCAGTTCTTGTTGAAGCATTGGCCTCGGCCAGCGTACGTTTGCTTTTGGCACAGCTTGCAGATTCTTAGGTCCACCGTGTGGTTCATAGTCTCTGCAGGCGGCGGCGGAGCTGAAGTCAAGTCGACCACAGGGGGAGTCTCAGGAGTCTCCGCCGTATGGGAAGGGGCAGGGACAGCAGGAGGGTCTGGAATGACAGCTTTTGCCACAGGCGGCGCCATATTTCTCCACGGCGGCGGCCCAGAACTGCCAGGTGGGTCCATGTGCCCAGGAGGCGGTGGCGTCATGGGCGTGCCGCTTGGCAGTAGTGGCGGGGCTTTGGCTGCCAAACCCGCCTCGCCCATTGGTCCACCTGGTGGTCCGGCTGCCATGCCCGCCCCGGCTGTTGGCGCCATAGGCGTTGTCGCCATAGGCGTTGTCGCCGGGCCAGACCCCCCAGTGCCAGGGGCACTGCCTGTAGGAGGCGGAGGCCGCGCCAGGTAACCCCACAGGCTTGCAGCCAAGGCCTGGAGCGGGTCTGCAGGAGGACCAGGGGGAGGCCCTCCTTCAGACTCGCCTGGCGCTGCCAAGGCTATCACCATCAGCGCCGCCAGCCACAGTGCAGAGCTGCGCATGGCTACTTCCAGTCAGGTGAGGGACAGGGGCAAATCACTTGAGATCCAACAGCTGCAATGAAAACAAAATTTTCGAAGCAACTGCCAACGATTCTCTAGACGACGATTTGCTTAGCTTTCAGGAGACGCGCGCCGCCTTAACTTTAGGAGACGCGCGCCTTCCTTCCCATCTCAAACTCCCTTGTCAATGGACAGGAGGCGCGCGCCTCCTTGTCTTGAGGAGACACGCGCCTTCCTTCCCATCTCGACTAACTTAGGGCAATGGGCAGGAGGCGCGCGCCTCCGTGTCACTTGACATTCATGTCATCAGACCAAGGACCAGGAGACGCACGCCGCCTTAACTTAGATTGGTCAGGAGTCGCGCCTCCTTATTTAGGAGACACGCCTCCTTCACTGACCATCTGCCACCTTGTCGTGGACATGGGTCATGGATCATTGACAACCAGGAGACTGGCCATGGCGCCTCCTTGGCCAGATCCACGAGGTTCAATGGCATTTGAAAATTTTCAGGAGGCTTCAGGGCGCCTCCTTACAATGTCCTTTTAAACAAATATTATTTCAAGTAATCAGGAGAGAGCGGGCTGACAAACTCTGGAAGTCAGGTTTCACACGTTTGCTTTTTCTTACTTACCTAACTGTAAAAGCACAACATCAAAGGGCAACAGGGGCAACAAACAAGCATCAGCAAGGCTGTCTTCTTTTTGCGAAACTTATCCGCCATTGATGGTGGAAACCATGCTTGCAGCAATCCGCGCTGAGGTGAGCGTGGAATTCATCAACTAAGAGTAGATGCAACTGCACCATTGACAACGGTCAATGGAAATTCATTCCAAACATTCAGAACCACGCATTAGAGGAAAAAACGTAGTCGCCACCTTGGCGCTGCCTTTGCAGGATGCATACTGATGGCTCCTTTTACTGCAGGACGCTCCAGTCTATGCTGTGTAGCTCCTATCGTGTTTGTCCTGCAGGATGCTGTTAGCTCCTTTTCTTGCAGGCAGCACCTTGCGCCTCACCGTTTGGGGTACACAATCCTGTTGCCTTTAACAAGCATTGCGTTTTGGAGTTGGCATGATTGTACACAATATCATAACAACTGAACAGGTCATGGGAAAAATATCCAATCAAGTCACCGTGACTTTTTCAAAGTTCTTTGTTTAAAGGAACCGCCACATACTGCAATGAAAAAACAATAGTTTTTCCAAGCAAAGGCATTTCAGCGAACAAGGCACGGTTGCGTCATTGAACGCTGAAAGCTGCAGCAACTTAAGCGGTGAACAAGAGAAACAGACCATTTGCAATACCACGCTTTAAGAAACAATCAGTTGCAATTAAGACACGATGGTTTTATAGGAAACTGATGCGAGCACCTTCTTTGAAAGAGGTAACATCTGTGGATCATTTCTTGGTCTGAAAAAAATCTACACTCTGTGTGATTGAACAGGAAGTTTTCCTTGCTCATTCCAAAAGAGGACATTGTCAGGGGCAGCAAATACAGCTCTTTCACGACCCACTTAAACAGAAACTTTACAATCCAAACTATCATGCATCAAACGTTATTATTGGAAACTGTGCTTTCGAAAAACAAGAAGCTTCCAAATAGTATATATTTCTTTTTGAAAAGGAAGCATGGAAAAGAATAAATGCAAATCACAGCCTCCCACATTTCTGCTTTCTTGTTGAAGTAAAACAGAATCAAAATCAAACACATCTTGGTGAATGGTTGATGAAAAGATTACATTTTGCAATACTGGCGAAAGAGTGTTGGGCTGCATGTTTGATTCCCTGCGCTTCATCTTGGAATTCTTTTTGGTGATAAACAATTGTCGCGCATTCTGTGGTGTCAGAGACAGGGATTAAGATCAAGGCTTAGCAGTGTCTGACAAGATAATTTGACAACATTCCAAAATATACAGGGAAGCAGGCAATATATATATATATATATCTCACACTTGCCCACATTTTGTAATATATTTTTGGTATGCAAGAAAAGCCGTCATAGAAAAGATCTCGTCAGTTTTTAGGGACAAGGAATTTAGAAATATTGGGAACAGTCGTGGAATGAAGTATTTTTGCTCCGGGGCATCTGCACGTTTATTTGGAACTTGCTTGAATGATCAACACAATACCTAACATTTTTTACAACAAATAAGAAAACATTATCGCCAATCATTGTGCAGCAGTGCTTGTTACGAAGACTACACATTTTTTCACTGATTGCACAAAAAGATTCTAAAACAATGACCCACAGATACCTTCATTTTTTTGGTACGCAAGACAGGCAGCCAGAGGAACTACCTTTTTTTAAACAAACAGTGCCAGGTAGCACCTTGAAACATCACTATGCTACAATTTGGTCCTAGAAATTGGCCAAATCGATTGGTCAACAGCAGCAATATGTTCAAAAAACGAAAAAACATTATATATATACTTTTTAAATTAAAACATGTAAATGCTGCAAAGTCGACTGCTCAAATTGAGAGGCCAACATCGCAGCAGTTCTAGCGAACTGCTGAGATCTCCCATAGAAAAAACTTTTTGCTGCCAAGGCAGGTACTTATTTTGTGAAGGTGACTTCGCTGCAAAAAGTTGTTGAAGAAAGGGGATCGCAGCAGTTCTATCGAACTGCTGCAAAGTCCACTACTCATTTTGTGTAGGTGACTTTGCTGCAATTGCAAAAAATCATTCGAAAATATAATCTCTGAGTAAAGATATGAGATGTAAAAAATTATATTGTAGTTGTTTCTGGCCGAAACTGTTTCTCAAAAATGAATTTAAATTTTCGAGAAACAAATTAACAAATATAGATATATATATTATATATACACTATTTTCTAGACCCCATGACCCTCATGAATTGGAACAATTTTTCTTCTGCAGTGGGGCTGCCTCTGTTTTTGGTGTTTTAATAAAGAAGTTGTAGTGTCACAGAATATGACTGCCTCCTCTTTGTCATGGAAAAAAGCTACATTGCGTTTTTTAAAAGAATCAATGCTGTTACTAAAGTGTTTCACATTGGTTACTTGTTTCCTGTCGCAAGCATGTTCTGGTCAATGTTTCTCCTATTAATTTTTGTTTCTTGAGCATGTCTGAAAAATTAGGAAAATATTCCAAGTTACATGTTGTTGCATAGACTTCTGTGTGCTGAAAACATATTATACAATATTAGTCCAAACGCACTGGCAATAGAATTGTCCAGCATGTGTCCAAGCAATGCTAAAAAAATGCATGTATCCCGAAAAAAAAATCTGTAAACTTTGCGTTCACTACAATAAGAATAAAAAATGCCTTGGTCTATGTATCTATAAACATATATTCTTTTGCAGCAGAAATGCCTTTGCTGAAAGGAAGACAAACAATGATCCATGAATCATTGCAGCCACAGCGTTGATTTTTTTGACAGAATTAAACCACCTTGTGTGGGGCCCTGGAAACCGAATGCTGTTCCCCACGTAACGCTGAAAGCTCAAGGACAAGGGTTGGCGGTGATAGAAATACAGGAATCGCAGTAGATTTGCGTAGGAATGTCAACTGATGACAATTTGCTTACCTGTGCATACAGTTCATATACTTCCAAACTGTCCCTGCCAAATAACCAACATCAGAATATTTTGTGTAACTCTCCTGTTTCTCCTGTGGCGACATCGCCTCCTTGAGCCATGGCTGATCGTCTCTTGCATCTCACCCAGGGCCTTTTAGAGGTCCTACGTGAAGATGAGCTTCAAAGCCAGGTGCGGGCTGCGTCTGCGGCTGCTGGATGGCACCCTGGTATGCCGACGTTGCCTCCACAGATGCACATGATGCCGCAGTGGCAGGCAAGGCCACCTCGCATGATCGCGGGGATGCCGTCGCACATGCCCGGCACGCAGCTGATGGGTCCTCCAGCTGCTGCTGCTACTATGATGGGTCCCCCTATGATGGCCCCCCCTGGCTTCTGCCCTGGTCCAATTCCGGCAATGCCAGTGCGGCCTATGACTGTGACGCCAATAGTGGAAGAGCCTGATTCTGACGATGTCGCAGTTCCTCATGGTGCGACAGCTCGACCTGCTGCAGCATCTGCTGCTGCTGCTGCAACAGCAGCGACGGCCGGCACTGAGATGGAGGAGATTCCCGTGGAAGAGGAGCCGCCCCCGCGTTCCACTCGCCGTCCAGTGAGCCCTTTAGCAGGGCCAGGGCCAAAAATCGACCTGTCTTAGCACCCAGGTATGCGAGGAAGAGCAGCCCAGCCACTCCAGCTCCTTCCTTGTCCTCGACCGGACATGATGATGATGCTCCTGGCCCCGCTCCAGCTGCTTCCTTGTCCTCCCTGGGACATGATGATGTTCCTGGCGCCTGGCCCAAGTCGGCTCCTGACGCTGATCCACGCCGCGGAGTTGTTGGAGCCAGTCCTTCTGCTGCTAGCAGCTTAGCTATTAAATTGTTTTTACTTTCCCGTCCCTGAAAGATGACATCCGATTCCTCAAAACTTTCATCATCATTGCAGGCACTAGCTTCCGGGCACGCTCTCGCAGCCGCCGCAGACGCCGTGATGATGATGAAGGTCGCAAGAAAAAAAAAAGACGGGGTAGCAAGGGCAACCCGGAGAAGCGAAAGCGTTGGTACGCAGAGCACTACCCGAATGAAGTGCGACCAAGACCTCCTCCCCGTGACAGTTGCTTGACATTGATTGAATCAAGTTTTCCCACCTAATAGAAACCCTTGTGTGTTAAATGTTTTTATGTGACCACTCTGCCTCAAAGGCCCACCTGATGACCATGACGATCACACCCATGGCGGAGGTGGCGGAGCTGCTGGATCTGCTACAACTGCAGCAGCAACGTGAGAGTGGTAGCTCCATGACGAAAGCTGAACTCCTCCGAGTCTTCCAGAGAAAATGTCAGCAGCAGCGCAGTTCGCAGGATGCATTTTGCTCCTAACACCTATGCAGGACGCCCAACTGGCTCCTACACATTGTAGACATAGCATGCACATTAGGTCGGCACACTCTTAAAATAGTGAAGTACAACATGGTCACACCCAGCTGCAGGATGCATCATAGCTCCTTGTCATCACACACACACACACCGTGGTTCTTCTGATTCTTTACATGTGTTTTGCAGAAGCATTGAGTTGCTTCTACATGATGCTTTGACTGACAGTCAACACTTTGCTTGTCTCTGGGAAATGAGACTCATGAAGCCATGGCGAAGCCATTTAAGGCTGTCAGATTGCAACTGCCTCGGTTTCAGGAGACATGGAGGCTGCCAAGGTGGAGCCGCAGCCTGAGCAGGAGGACTCTTTCGTGGATGCAAAAGCTGAAGAAATGAGCACAGTGGAGGAGAAACTTGAGAGCCCCGTGTTTGACTCTTTTGATGACTCTGAGGTCAAGCTTGCGCCTTCAAGTCGCATGGGAGAAGTGATGCAGTCCTGCGAGGGGATCACCGACAGGGAAACCTTAAAGCAACAAGTGCTGACAGCTTTCGATGTCCTTTGCGATGACTGTGGAGGCCCTTCCCAATGGCTGGCTGAGAGATTCAAGGATTCAGAAGCTGACTTCCGTGCTTCTTTGTCATCCATGTTCCCTTGGATGGCTTCCATTGATTATGTTCAGCCTGCTGCCTTGGGAAAGAAGGATAAAGGCTTTGTCCATGTGTCTACGCTCTCCTTCAGCCCAGATCGCAGCACCAAAGGGTTTCCGTACCGCTGCACATGTCGACACATCCTGGAAGAGATTTTGGTGCATGGGTTCTTGACAGAAGCTGAACCATTGCTTCTATGGTGCAGCCCAGAAGACCGTTTGCTTTCGCAAGTTGACTTCCGCTGCCGCTATGTGAAAGGCTGTGCGCGATGTGTGTCTTTGCTTTCACTGCTGGCGCTCTTCCGGGACCTGGCCGTGGACGTCATGGTGCACTTCCCCCACATATATCAGTCTGTCCAGCTGATCCATGTCATGTTCCAATCCCATGCCAGCTTGACTTCTGTGGCGATAGCCAATGCGCACTTGAGTTGCTCCGGGTCAATCCGCCAGGCTCATGATGTGATGACCTGGGTGAACAAACTGCGGCTTCTGGAAGGTGGGAGTGACGCGCCTGCAGCAATTCTGGAGAAGTTCAACAGCAATGCAAGCGCTCGAGGCAAGGTGACTGGCAACCGCCGTGTGGCAGCACTGGCTCTTTTGCAGCCAAATTGCAGGCGGGGATGTGAGATGATGGTGGGTTTGCTTTCCAGGATAGGTCCCCGTGCCGTGTGGTGGGGAGAAGATAGCTTCTGCAATAAGAAGCTGCTGCCGAACTTTGCGCCGCGGACTGGCAGGAGTTCTTGGAACCCAATTCTTGTTGTAACTGCGGAGTCCTTTGAAACTTGGATTGCGAGCCTCAACAGACAGCACCTGGCCAAGAACCCGAAGTCGAGGCGAAGTTTGGAAAAATCGAGGTTGGAGGAGCATTCGCAGCTTTCTGCATTCTGGACATGGGCGAAGACAGAAGCCCAACACCATGCTGTAGATCCTGAAGACCTGGCAGCTGTGCATGAAAAATTTCTCGACGGAGATGTGACATTGTTGCTAGATCTCCAAAGCCTGCTCCATGAGAAGAAATCTGACATTTGCTGGAAGGATGTGCTCCTTGGCTAACCCACAGTTTCACTGTCTGGTCTGTCTGTTTAAGATAATAACTTGTCCAAAAAGAAGCTCTTGCTTTTCACTTTCCACGGATAACATCAATGACTTGTTTGTGAAAGCCGAGGACGATTCTGCGAGAACTCCACCAGAAAAAGCAGTCCTGCACAGATCTGGCGCTGCTGGGCCATGCAAAGACCGAGATCGAGGCCAGCAAGTTTGAGAAGATGGAATTGGAGCTTGTCCATCAAAAGATCAAAGGCGACATCCAGGCAGTATCGGTCTTTAGATCGAAGCTTGCTTGTCATGAGAGCCTCTTGTACCATGCTCGGGTTGAGCACCTTCGGAAGCGACGCATCAGTGCCAAGGAAGCCACGGCGACGCTTTTCACTGGACCAGCCGCGCAGTTCAAGTTTGTCTCTGCAGTCGAAGATGTGGTGGCTACTTTGGGGCAGCTGAGCCGTGAGTATCGCCTCAGCCAACCGCTGCCGGCTCTGCTGATTGTCAACTGGGCTGCTCCATCTGCTGTGCGGGAGGAGCAAATGTCAATGCAGCTGCAGACTATGACCAACCTCTTTGCTGCAGACTCCGTAGACCCCATGGGCATCATTTTGATGCCAATTTGGGAGCGCGCAAAAGGATCTCTTTACAAAACGGAGAACTTGCTGCTCAAATCTTTGAGCGAGAAAGACATCAACACCGATGAGAAAGCCTCCTTGAGTTTCGAGGACAAGTGTTTTCTCAGTCATGTCCAGGTAAGTGTACCTCATTTTTGCGTTTTCAAAACATGGGAAGGACAGAGCAGATCCCAGAGACAGACGTCCCCTGGAGTATCCACTGCGGCTGGCCTTTCCTTTGCGTAGTGGACCAAAAAATGTGACGCAAAGCATCTGGATGAGATCAGCTCTGTATGTCAACAACAGAACCAGCAGCAGGGCGCAGATGTTGCAAGTCAAGGACATGCGAGTGCCGGAGACTGAAGATGACTTGCCAAGCTCTGATTTGCAGGACCGTCTAAATCCTGCAGACAAGTATTGTCAAATCGGAGAATCTGCAGCTGCGGCTTTGATTTCCTCTACATTTGCAACTCTACCTTCTGGCCATGCCTGTGTGGCAATTGTTGATCTCAGCCCAAAGACAGGTGACCTGGCGCGAGCCATGCTCAGAATGCCTGCTGCATCCACCGCATTGCATTACATTGCTTTGGCGCCGGAGTTGCAAATGGAATGGGCACGCACTGATTTGCACGACTTGGCCATTGATCTGTTTTTGTCCCGGGCCTTGAAGGTGAAGGACTTTGAGCCGCTGCCGGAAACTCTGCCTGCAGATCAACAACCTGAACTTTTGGCGCCAGCCCTCAATGTGGGAACCGTGGATGGCCTGAACCTCCAGCTGCCGCAGAGCTTGGCTGCAAAGTGGGGCTCCAGCTCCTTCAAGGATGACTGGGAAGCACTTCTTGAAGAAATGAACGCAGTCATCCCTGTGAAGGACAATGTTGACCGGCCGAGCAAGCGCTTGCGCACCAGCAATGCCGTGGACCTCGTGGAGAACCCTGCTGGTGCGACCAAGTTTGAATTCATTCATGTGGCGGAGCTCGACATGACAAAGCTGCTGATTCAAGCGAGTTGCAGCAACAAGCTGAAAGGCCTGAGTTTCCAGCTGTTTCCCAGCAACCGCTTGATGCTTGTGAACACTACTCCCGCTCCTATTCCCGTGGTTGGGTCTTTGACATCATGGCAGAAGGGAAAATGGTGGCAGCCGAAGGAAACAACTGAAATGTGGGACACAGCTGTGGATATCATGTGGAAGTTTGAAGGAAGCTCTGAGATTGTCTTTATTGACAACCAAGCGCAAAGCCTCTTCCAAGTCATCGACGCCATGAAACGATCCAAGCCAGAGCAAGCAATCGTCAGGTACCACAGCCTTACCGAACATCCTCAGGGGCAGCATGGGCCTGGCGACTTCACCGTCGAGGTGAAGCACCAAGTTGCATGGCGGGCAGAGAAGATGACAGTTGAAGGAGGTGGAAAGGCCAACTACTTGACCATCGCTGGGCTTTTCCCTGCCGACTGCTGGGACTTGAGCAAGGTGCAGATTGTCTGGTCAACACGATTTGCAAAACAAGGCCTCACAGGAATCAAGCCAAGTGTCTGGCTGAAGGGCAGCTGCATCATTCCTCCACAAAGCGCGCTGGAGCTGACTCTGATGGCTGAATGACTGAATGAATTTTGAGAGCTGCTGGCTGCAACCCACCAAAACGGTGAGGGAATTTTGTGAACAAAATTAGGGAACACCGTGCTTAGGATTTTGACAGATTGCCAGCGTAGAGATGCCGATTGTCCGCAGAGAAAAAGATTGCGGAATTAAAGGAGGCCAATTCCTCCAGCTCACGGTGTGGGAGTTTTCAAGTGCAGGAGCATTTTATGCTTCTTTTTGGGCAGGATGCCTGTATTTTGGCTCCTTCGTGCAGGACGCTGTAAGCTCCTTTTTGCAGGATGCCTTTTGGCTCCTTTGTGCAGGATGCTGTAAGCTCCTTTGTGCACAGTGTCACGATCCTTTGTTATATTGTTGCAGTTTTTGGGGCTAAGCTTTGCTGAAACAGCCACTGCTTTCCGTGACCACCAATGGCGCAGAGCAAGTATGCGGATCGCATGGGTGACTTGTCTTCGTTCATTCAGGAGTCATGACGTGTAAAATCAGGGAGTTTTTAATCCCTTCCTCCTAATACTAAACGTCCCCCTAATACTAAAAACAGGCATCCATCTCCAATTTCCGAAAATTTCAGTTTGGCCAATTTGACTTTTAATTGATCCCCTTTAAAAAACAATTCAAAAATCAACCTACCATTTGTGGGTTCTCCCCCCTAATACTAAAAACTAATTCATCCCGGGGTGTTTAGTATTAGGGGGGCTAGTTTTTAGTATTAAGGGTTTTAATTTAGTATTAGGGGTAAGCTTCGAACTGCCATTTTTGGCAATATTTTAATTGCGTTATATAAAGAAATTTAATTGATTTTGAGATCGGAAAAAATAGTTTTTAGTATTAAGGGTTTTAATTTAGTATTAGGGGTAAGCTTCGAACTGCCATTTTTGGCAATATTTTAATTGCGTTATATAAGGAAATTTAATTGATTTTGAGATCGGAAAAAATAGTTTTTAGTATTAAGGGTTTTAATTTAGTATTAGGGGTAAGCTTCGAACTGCCATTTTTGGCAATATTTTAATTGCGTTATATAAGGAAATTTAATTGATTTTGAGATCGGAAAAAATAGTTTTTAGTATTAAGGGTTTTAATTTAGTATTAGGGGTAAGCTTCGAACTGCCATTTTTGGCAATATTTTAATTGCGTTATATAAAGAAATTTAATTGATCTTGAGATCGGAAAAAATAGTTTTTAGTATTAAGGGTTTTAATTTAGTATTAGGGGTAAGCTTCGAACTGCCATTTTTGGCAATATTTTAATTGCGTTATATAAGGAAATTTAATTAATTAATTAATTAACATGACTTCGATTTGGTTCCCTAATAATAAATACCGCCCTAATACTAAAAACTACCTGCCGTGTTTTGTATTAGGGGGGGGGGGGTTTAGTATTAGGAGGAAGGGATTATTCATGTCTAGAATCTACAAAGTTACAATCCCAGGTATGGACTGGCCTGATGGCTTGCCTGATCTCGACGAGTACATGTACCAGATGGAAAGCCCCTTTTGTGGCACTAAGCCATGGGTGGCCCTCAGCGATCGCACCTCAGATGTGCGCATGGAGAGTCTGCTGAGATGGATGGCCAACTACGAAATTCATTTCGCGGGTGACAGAGATGTCATTTGCTTTGAAGAGCTGGTCTTTCAAGTGCGAGAATATTCTATAAGCCAAAGCGGGCCGTGGATGGCAGAGGTTGAACTCTGGGGCGTTTGGGAGCAAGAGCAGATGTGCGTCAGGTTCAAGCTGACAAAGGATCACTTTGGCACCGACTCGGCTGAACAATGAGCGGTAGTGGACTGGCGGGGTCTCCATAGAATAGCTCACAGCCCATCAGAGGCTGCTGGCACTGTTAATCTCTTGCTCCTGAGAGTGAAAACCTCTTGCACGGCTGCATCAACAACTTGGAAGATGTTCTTCATTTTCTCGCCAGGCTTCCAAATGGCAAGCCTTGTAAGCCAGATGCTTTGTGTGAACGGCATACATTGTGTTCATGCATTTTGGCTTACAGATAAAAATGGTAAGCTCCAAAACATTAGGTCATTCCCATCCTATCAAATTAGTTGATAAACATAATCAGCTCGGGAATGGTCAGATTGATTGTTTCAAGCCACTTCAAAGTGTTCGCTGAGATGGGCTGATCTATGATCCAGAAGCTTTGCCACCCTGTAGAAGCTATACAGCGTTTAGACGCAGCTGCAGAATCACCTCTTGAATCTGTTGCATGTCGCGGCTGCTGGCGCCATCACCTCGATGCAGGAAGCTACTGCAGCTCCTTTTTTTCAAAGATTCGCAGCCTGCTAATTGAGCATGGCTGCAATGCTTGTAGCTTCACTGCCGGAACCAGCCTGCGCAACCATGACTAACCAACCAACTTTCATACTATCAGCAATAACAACCCAACAAATCACCAGTCCAGTGTACCTTTTACGTAGAATTAATTTGCCAACAAAAAAATGTAACACATAGATTCGAGATGTCACATCCAAAGAGCATATCATGCAAGGTTCCAGTGACATGTAAATGGAACACAAAGATTGATGTGATGTCATATCAAAATATCTAACCCTCAGGAGCTTATGTGATGACTGAGCACCACAAAAACCAAGAAGTCCAACTCCCAAAAAGAGACAACATGCTGTTTTTCAAACTCCGGAGCCCATGCTTCAAACACCGAATGCAGAGAAACTTGCTTTGAAGCTGGTTCCGAAGTCGGTGCTCCTCGATGTCCGAGTTGAGGTCGCAAAAGTGCCAAAACAACAGAATTCGAAACTGTGTGAATGGAAACACGGTGCAGCAGTGAACAGGAACAGAAATCAACAGTTCAAACTGGTTTGGCGCAGGTACGCACGGGTGATCAATCCGTGCTTCCTGGGATGCTTGCAAAGAGCTTCGTTGGGCAGAGCTTTGCAAGTCCCCTCTGCCCCCCTGCATGTTTGAAAAATGTGACGTCTGAATCAAAAACTGGGCCCTGTGCAAGAACGGTGTACACACAAAAAAAAACGTTGTCAACATGTTCTGGACATAAGGGGAGTTAACACATTGCACCAAACATCTGGTTTTGGCTCAAGACTGGAATACCATTTTGGACGCATAAATTGGCAAGGCATATTTTCGGTAGTGAAACACCCCTCAGGACTATAGATCTGGATAACTGGATACTCCATTAATTCCATCCAGTGATCCATCTGTCAATCTAGCCTGGCAAGGACAAATGATGAAACATAACATAACCAAACTTAATGTGTATATATGTATCTATGTATATATATATATATATGTATATATATCTATACATATGTATATGAATATACATATGTATATGTATATGTATATGTATATATATATACATATGTGTATATATATATATACATATGATATATTATATCTAAGGCCCTATCGCTACACAGTCTTTGAAATGCACTTTCCAGACACAAGGGAGCGCCCCCTATCACTAAAGTGCTTTACGATAGTTTTGACCACACCTCAGATGATTTTCCTATTTTGCTTTCCCAAGAAACACTACAATGTGGGGCCTCCTAGTTATAAGTTGGCTTATAGACACCATCAAGATCCATCAAGACTGTTCAAGTATAGATATATCTACTACAAACATTATATATATATATAAATAGATATGCTACAAACATACTATAGATATACTTAACATCATCAAACATCTACAGATATCTACTACAAACCATACTTAGCCTAGTTGTCAACCAGCTTAGCTCCCCAGCTTGGGGGATTTCCGACGCCATCCATTGGTTCCCGGACGGGATCACTTGGATCTGCCGCGTCGCACTAGGCAAACTGAAGGCATTACGCCTGCCAGAACAGTAATTTAAAATACAAATGGGATGATTACCCTCTGGTTATGACTAACATAGCCATGGAAAATGCTCCTTACAGATGGTTTACCTATTAAAAATGGTGATTTTCCATGGCGAACTGTTAAATAACCAGATGGTAACTTAACCACAAACATGGTGATTTTAATGGTGATTCCGATTCCAACTTGATGGATATTTAAATTGTTGTTAAAAAACATGGGATATTAGCTGGATAGTAGTGGTGATTTAGTATGATTTTAATGGTAATTCATTTGTGTTTCGATGGTGGTTCAATGGGAAATCAGCAACAAAATGTGAATGATATAATGATGAGGTTTTAATGGGATTTAACCAAAGCACATGGTAACTTGATGGTGATTTAATGGGATATTTTTTTCGGATGTTTTAGGGGGATATGATGGTGGTCAACCTTGAGGCAATCAAACATGGCATGCTTCCCATTGAAACTTCCATTTCTAGGGGATTTCCCAGCTAGCCACGTTTGATTGCCGGAGGGTAAGTGCTAAAAATGAACTAACATCTACGGTTCATTGGGTGCTGAATTTTGACCTATATATATGTATGTATATATATATATATGTATACTTATGTATATATGTATATATGAAGAGGGAACATTTACAATAAGCAGGGGTTTACACCAAACAATATGCCTTGGGTTTGTTTGAAAATTAGGTAAACTCCGAAATCTATGGCCATCAAATACTGGGAAAATGCGGTGTTGAACCAGTGATGGAATGGGGTACCCATGGATAGCCTATGTTCAAAGAAACTGTCTATATATATATATAATGTATACAATACTGATCGGCGACTTCAACCAATCTGAAAAAATGCTCATCATTGGATATCCTCATCCCGTATCTATGGTTGAACATAAAATATATGTCAAACCACCAACCAGCAGAAATGAATGAAGAATCATAGGATAGTCATGGGATGATCAAAATTGATTGAAGGGATTTGTTTCGGGGGTCAATCATCAAAAAATATGGGATATCAACCAGATCCAATTTGAATCACCATTTACAGGAAACCCTTTGTTTTACTCTCAAACATAGGGGTGAAACCAAAAAACATATCCCTTCAACCAAGTCGGGGAAATATGGTTCGTTGGTGATTGGACATCATGTGGGAATGCTTAATGAATAATTTGAACATTCA